ATAAGCCCATAGAGATTTAAAACCTCTCGTTTTCAAAGGGGTCTGCAGCCCTAGCTTAATGTGACGGCATGCAGACTGCCTCAAAAGTCTCCATGTACTTTGGCGGAGAAAGACTTAAACGTAAGCCTATATCCAGGAGCTGAAGTGAGGCAGATATGAGACGAAGCAGGGAGTGTAATGTGTGGTGAGAAAGTGTGAGGAGATGTAAATGTGGCGGTGCTTGGGAAAAACTGTTAAAGCCATTAAAACGGTAAAAGTGAACGTGTTTACTCAGGCCAGACGTCCTCTCGCCTTCTGCTAATGTTTATTCAGAAGGCAGTAGATGTTTAACTGCTGTTTGTTGTGAGAACCAGCGTCTGTGCTGGAGTTTTATTCCCAGGAAAATATACTTTATGGAAAGCAGTGGGCAAAAACACTCTATCATCACCTATAAATCTGCTTGGACTTTTTGTATATGTGCTGTATTGAATCTTGTAAAATATGGATATTGAGTCTGAAACATAGATTAATAATATAGTCCAGTAGTTCTCATTCAGGGACCGATACTGTACATTTCTCCATTGTGAGATCAATAAAGTTTACCTTATCTTAAATTATGGATTAAACCAACTCGTGACACCAGTGGTTAATTTTTGGAAGGGTTGAAGATCATTTTTTCTATTTTATGAAGTTGAGGATTGTTAAATGGCCTCGCTGCTCTTGAATATTCAAACCTTGTGTAAAATAATTGGTGAAATACCCTGAAAAGATTTGGGAGTATTATCTTGAAACTCACTCACTCACTCACTCCCTCCTGTATTAGTCTTTTGCGTCCCCCACTTTGAGAACCACTGGTATAGTTTCTAAATACAGTGTTCAGCTGGTACACAAACATACGAGAACCTAGGCAAATGCAAAACTCCATAAGTGCTTCATACAATTTAGGAGAAGATAAAACTGCATTAGTTGTTCCACTGTTTTACTCATTCATTGTGTCAATATTTTTTTCCCACAGTCCTCAATAGTGTTTGTTACCTGCCTCATAACGCCCTCTACGTTAATCTCCAGGTCTGCATTATTGCTGACTCAATACATTGTTCTAACCTTGTGTCTATGGTGTTATCCTTCATATTGAGACTTATTAAGCCTTCTACTGTGTGCTGAAGGACATTCTGAATACCCGCTGGTGCTGGCATGACAGTTTTTGAAAAAGCCCCATGTGTGATTCTATACATATTAAAAACTAACACACGTCTTTAGATGTGATACACCTTTTGTGGATTTGCTGGTTCACAGATTTGTTCATATGCAAACCGCTAGTATACCGTGACTGTTGCCTTTAAAATCAGAAGAAAACTTTTGTGACATATGCGCACCGCAGTGATTAGTTCAGAGGCTTCCCGTAGCCCTCAGTCCTGCTCCTGCCCCTCAGCACGGTGTCCTCTGCAGCGTATGCATGGCTTTTGACAGCTGCAGCAGCACTCGGACCTACTGCCAACAGGTTTGATATCTCTGCGATTCAGCAGTCATGAGTCCTGGTGGTTCGAAAAGTGTATAAAGTGTGTGGTGATGGGTTTGGCGGCCTTAAAACTTATAGCTGCTACTTTGCGAATTTCACTTATTTTGGTTATTTTTTAGAACGTAAACCCTGCGAAAAACTAGAAATCACTTTATGATTTCTCCAAACATTTTACTAACATTCCTTCCTAGTAACCCTGAGCTTTTATTCCTAGACACATGAAAGGACTTAAGACACATGCAAGCAGGCCTCCAAATTATTGATTTCATTCACAAAACGTATTTTAAGAAAGCGAAAGGCTAAATTGCGAGTAATCTTTTCTTGTTTGTTCCTTTGGGTTGATGAAAGGACTGAGTCAAGGTCAAAGCCTGAACATGACTGCGGTGGGAGGATGAGTGTCGGAGCGCTGAGTGGGTCAAAAATCAATACAGACTTAATTGTATTACTGCAAATCAAAGCTTCGATAAGAGCTGGTCCAATTAGACACATAAATTGTGTCAAAAACAGGAAATGTGTTGATATCTGATTGTGACTTTGGACAGAAACGAGGTGTGAAACTGGGACAAATCTGAGGTGAGGTATTGTTTCTGTCTCATGTAATTGCTGTGACGCTCGTGTCCTTGAGCTAATTATGTCTGAGGATAACATTTTGTAAAGTGAGGACATCAGCTTTACTTGCTGTCTGGTCTACTTTTTATACGATCAGTATCTTGTTGCTACCGCTTACAATAAGTCAAGCGTGGTCCACAAATGTTGGAAAAAGCAAATTACCTTCTGATCCTAGCCTATTGAATTGTACTGCTGGTATATATTGCTACTCTTCATACTGAACTGCTCTACCCCCCTTTACATACACATTATAATAAAACATGAAAAATACCTTAAATGTATTTATTTATTTATTTTACATTTATATTATTATTATTATTATTATTTTACTTATTGGGAATCTCAGGACACAGCTCTCATTGAACTTCCTTTAAGACTTTTTAATGAATGAATAGGTTTACAAAAGCAAATCGCATTGTAGATAAGGTTTTGCCACTTTACTACTTAATACTTAATGTACCGTATATTTAATTGCTTTGATACTCCTGCCGTAACGAATCTAACTCTCTCACATTATCATATATCTCCACTACATTTGAATAACAATTTTGATACATGTTTTGCCTGGGGTCCTTATGCCAAGTGTGCAGGCTGTCTGGACATATCCTGCATAAAAGAGATGAAAGATTTATATTGTTTGGGTCTGGTCTTTGGCTGGGGACCCATTCATCTTTCAATAGGGAAGGATGTTATGGACGTATGGCTGAGTGGATAGAGAGCCCTAATCCTGGAGCTGGCCTACATTTGCGGCCCTCCTTGTGGACAGAGCTGTAGGTTTGTGTGCCATGTGTGGTTGTGTGTCGTCACCGTGTCAAGAACAATGAGGCTTTTAATGAGTGGAGCAGCGTGGGCTCGCGTCTGCATGTTATTAACCTAATACTGTACGCGTGCCACATGAAGCACAAGCTCTGAGGCCGGAGGGCAGATATGGAGAGTCAAATATGGACTTTGGATTAGCTTTTGGCACAGACTGAAGAGTTTTAGCAAGACATTACAAATTGTCATTGGAAAAGTTGCATATCTGACCAAGCTAAACTGTTTTAACCTGGATTTAACATGGTCAGGGTAGAAGCTTGTTTTTTTCAGGAAAACCATTCAAGATTTTAGCTGCATAAATGTTCATGTTTACTCTGCATGTTGGTGCTAGGCCATGGAGAAACACGGAGAGATTCTATTCTCTGTTAGATCATGTTGGCTATAAAAATTGTATGGATTATTTACTGGAGTCGTAAAGTAACAAGGGCACCGTGGTTATTCTAGTAGGGTGAGAGTTTTAGTGTTGTGTAGTGTTGGCGTAGTGTCATGTTGTATAATGTTTAAACGGCAGCCTTTGTTCCGTCATTAAATCAAAAGCAATAAAACAGGATTTTGAAGTTCTGCTTTGCGTCCACCTCCACATGGGATTGCGAAAACTAATTTACTGGTGTATATACAGCTATCACAAACTGGCTCCGTGCTGCTCACATGTTAATAATTGAATACATTGCCCGTAGTCAACTGCACTTGTGGAGCATATGAAGCACAGGGGAAGCAAGCGAGCATGAAACATTAACCACAACAAAATGTCTCGGGCAATTATTGCAAATTTACGCCGGTTTTGTCTGCAAACTCTTATGCAGCACTTCAGAGGCAGAAGAGGAGCCAGGTCTAGCGGGAGGGAAGGGAGGGGAATAGGCTTTTTATCACAAATTCAAGGATCATTTGCAGCACTGTTCAGGCTCTTGTTGCACACTCCCCCTCCCAGCGCACTGCATCCATTTGGGGCTGAAAAGAAAGCCGGGTGCGGAGGGAGGGAGGGAGCAGAGCAGAGCAGGGCGTGATAGATGTTGATGGACCGGACAATAGGATGTTTGTATGGGATCTATATTCATGTGTCAGAAATTGAGACATGAAAGGGCCTGACGTATACTGTGCATGGCGACATATGAAAAACATTTGTAAAGTTGTTTTTGGCGCAGATTTCACTTTAAAATGTAAATCTTTATTATAGTCATAGTTTCAAGTGGCCATCAGGAAATGTTGGATTGATTTAATGGATGTGGATGTTTAATAATAACTAACAGTCTGAAAATGTAAGACGGACTTCTATACTGTTCTATACTCAAATCCAGGTTAAAAACTATTTAACCTATAGCATGAAACTGAATGATTTTGTTTTTTGTTGTGGTGCCTATGACTGTATTCAAACAACTTTAAAATATGGCATAGTACTTTTTATGTGTGACCTTTGCAAAGTCCAAAGTTCCATGTTATCCAGCTTGTTTTGACATTTCTCATGCAACTGATATGCAAGTGCCTTATTATCATATTGATATTAAGTAGAACCATCCACACTGTGATGTAAAACCACTGCAAATATTAACACAGGAGAGATTGGAGGTTAAAAAAGAAAAGAAAAAGAAACATATCAAAGAAATAAACCCAAGGCAAACAACAGCAGTGATATCGACCGCTGTTGCACAAAACCTAGTTCGTGTTTAACTTTGAGCTTTTTGAGTGCCTCTCTGCGGCGAAAGCCGAGGAGATGTGGGATGAAAGGGTATAGCTGCAGCCAGAACTCCTTGGTAACGGCAGAGACGCAGGGGGGGAGAGGGTCCACCCCACCACCACCACCACATCCCTTCTGTTGCTTGTGTCTCGTCGGACCGGGGCTGAGCCTGAGGGAGGGAGATCGGGTGTGTGCAGAGGGCGGGGGAGTGGACCGTGTGTGGAGAGATAGGGATTGCTGTTTATGCGCGCCCTGCACTTGCTCCCATCCTCAGAGCAGTGAGAATGTGAAGCTGCAGCTCTGCGTGGACCGGTGCCTCTCCCATCACTGGATTTTTTTTTCGTTTTGTTTATCGCCAGGATTTTTTATTTTCCAACATAAGGGGATACCTACAGGCCTGGAATAATGGTTTTCATTGGGACCTCGTTGAAATCAGTGATCAAATACTTCAAGAGGAAGAGTAAGTTTCTTCATTTAAACCTGTTGGCTTTCTCTCTCATAATATTTTAGCACCTACTTAAACCTTTAAGTTCCAAAGTAGCATTTTTTCTTACATATTTTTCTTCTATTTATGTCAGTTATTGATTTTTTCTAGTCCTAAAAGCTCAAACACACTGTATCTTTCAGGGTTCCACCTTATGTAGTTTCCATATCAACTCTCAAAAAGTTCAATCTTTACCCATAATGTTGTTTTAGTACGATTATCTGTGCCTAATTTAAAGTTTCTCACCACCACTACAATCAAAAACCAACCATCATAAGCCTTACTGATCATATTTCTCATGCATATCTTTGCTGTTTTTTTAATGAATAATGTGATATTTTTTGTAGTACTACTTTCATTGTGTTTAGTATAATTTTGGTAAACAACAGTTCCTTGTAGCCCACCTCTTCTCTGCTCTACTTGCTCTCAGACTGAGCCCTCTGTTGGCCCTTGTATCTAGGGAACCACCAGGTCCCAGGTCAGTAGCTCACGATGACCACCGCATGACCTGCTCCGAACACAAACAGTGTTGTAGTTGTGTCAGATAGGGTTATTGTATTACTTCTACTTTGTCACTTTTATTCACCTGTTTGTCTCACTGAAGGGCGTATTGCCTTGAGTAGCATCAGTCTTGTCTATTACATATAATAACATCCATCCATCCATCCATTTTCTACCCTTTAATCCATTTCTGGGTTAACATATAATTACATATCACAGCACCAAGAAACATTTTTGGGCAGATCTCTGGAAAAGGCAATCTCGTTCACCTTCAAAATACGTGTTTTTTTGTTTTGTTTTTTACAAGGAAACAATGAATTGAGTACCAAGATGAGTGATCTCTATTATATGGTGAAGAGCAGATGAATTTCCAGTTTTAAAAAATTTGGAATTTACCTTAAAGTTTTAGTTTATAAACACGATTTGGGAGATGCCATTTTGGATTGACATTCCGCACTAGCAAAATGCGATATTTTATTGCAAGTATTTCCGTCTTACAAAGCAGCCTGCGTGGTGTGCACATGAACAATGGAAAACTATCGTCATTACAGCTAATACAATATGAGCGAGCGGATTACATCTTTATCAGTTGGTGCATAAGACTAAGATGACTTTATCAATGGCTGCGTATTAGGCATGTGAGTGGTTAGCCGTGATGTCCACCTCAGCAGCCTCTAATCGCAGGTGTATTTTTAGCCGGCGTGCCATTGCAGCTGCAGTAAAGTCTGAGGTGATTGCTTTAATCGTTTACTCAGCGTTTTGGACCTTCACACTTGGGCCCATCCCACACATGCCTGCACTCTGCACCTGAGCTAAGCACCTTGGTCCCGTCAGCAGCAGCACTTCATCAAACCAGATCCTGCTGAAAAGTGGTTCTGGATTCAATTGGCCTCTTACAAAACAAACAAGGATTAAGTTGTGGTAAACGCACAGTAGGAATATGAGATATACTATCAAGTTCAAACTAAGGTATTTAAATGAAGTGGTCCAACATTGTATGTATTGGCAAATTATAAATTAATGAAAAACAAATACAATATTGAATTCAAACTATTTTACATCAATTAAAAACTATATTCACTTCTCGTTTCGTCATTGTCAGAATGGACTTTTATCAAATTTGCGTTTTCCTTTCAAAACCATTGTATTGGTTTGGTGGGCAATAGAGGCTTCACGCTATACATGCATTTTGTCGATGCCATAGAATCACTTTTAATGATCTTTACAGTAGTAATAGTTTGTAATGCAGCAACTCCATATGCTGCAGTTGTTTTCTAGGATTCAGCTCTGAATATGTTGTGTCTGTGGGACAGGGCAGCACTGGGGCAGAGGGAGGATTAGTGGTCTCCTGAAAGAGTGTCCCGCTATGGTCCCATGAAAGGCTCAGGGGCCATTGTGGCACTGAATGCAGGGGCCGATGCTGTGGGACAATACAAGCTTTTGTCTCCAGAGTCCCTCGTGTCCTTGGTGTCCCCATAGATGGGCCAGGGCTCATTCAGACCTCAGGGCGAGATGGGGGAGGGTTACCTGTGCTCTGACTGAAGACATTCAAGTTTAGATGCCTGGCACAGAGATTCATTTTCAAGTTCTTAAACTCACCAAAATCCATCTAGTTTTGCTCCTGATGTTGTGATATGGCCCCATGCACCTGTGGGACAGAGACTAGACCAATCACAGGACATTGGATCCCACTAATGAGGGGAAAAGAACCTGCTGACATTGATCGATCTGGGATTTATGTTTGTTAATGTGGAGCTATCAATTGGCTGGTTACAATTAATAATTGACCTTTATTTAGCCTGAACGTCGAGATTTTATTGAAAAGACGGTCAAGGTAACGGCCATTGGAACATTGTCTTCTGTATTTGAACCATCCCCTGAACGCATTGCACTGCACCTTGCCCTGGGACCCATCTCCAGGTGTTGATGCACTGCTTGGTCAGGACAACTTTCACTGGAGGATATTCCTATGGTGCATGTTTAGCTTTAGACCATAGAAGCGCTTGATATCTTGACCTAATGGTTATAAACTAATATAATGTGCTCTTGTCTTGACTTGAGCAGTGTGGAGGTGTGTCCTGTGTTGTCCTATTGATCTCTGCACCAGTCTGCAAGATACATGCGGCGGAGCATTTTATTGACTGCAAAGCCGGGTTACACTGTGGTCATACTATGGTAAAGTGTGACGTTGTGGAAAAAAGCGTCTATAAACAAAATCATTTAGAGCTGCAAGGTGAGGCTATGATTCTGTGAACTAGCCTTTAATATTGGCTACTATTATGCCGGGTTACACTGTGGTCACACCATTATATAGAGTGTGTGATGTCTATAAACATAAACATTTAGAGCTGCAAGGTTAGCTTTTGATTTTATGAACTAGTAAATTGCTGTGGCTCAAGGTGCAAACAAGTTATAAGAGTAAAAATGGATACGAGGCAATGAGGCATGCATTATGCATGCAAATGCAAGTCTTATAATAAACTAACTACAAACAATAGACATTATCAGTGCAGTTAAGTGACAGTAGGATAAGGTGATGGTCGTAAAGGGAATGAACAAAATTACACACGCCTGTCTAGTGCTCCTTCAATGAACACTGACTTTATAATGAAGATTTAAAGGAAAAGAGTGATAGAGAAAAGGCTGTGTAGTGGGGGACATGAATAAACACAATGGCCTGTCCTGTTGACTGCTGCTCATCCTAAACGGTTTGCAAATGGTTCCTCTGGCAAGACCCCAGGGCACAACCACCTCTGCTTTATCCTCACACTTTCCCCCACTTGTAAAAAAGCATTAAATACAATAATGTTATGGGGATGCATTGGCAAATCCAAAACGTCTCCATGGCGCTGGACTATCGTTACTTAAATCACTGTTTAGCGTCTCACACTTTTAGGCTAATTTACACCCACCCTAATGTGACATCCTCCCCCAATGCTTGGTTCATTTGCACCTGTGAAAAGACTCAAAACTCCCTCCCTGCTCCTTACCAGACCCTCCCCTTCCTCCGCGTGTCCTAACTGTCCTCTCACACTTTCGCATCAATCACATGGACAAGTTGTGTTAGCAAGGTCTGGGATTTACAAGCAGATGTATTGGATTGCAATTGTATTGGAATGGAGGTTGTTCTGCATCCACGGTCACCAACTTTGGCCTGGATTCGATCACTTGGTAAGAGCTGGGGCAGTTGTCTTTTGGTTTGAAAGATCATCCATGTATGTATTAATTTAAAATATGTTTTGCAAGTATTAGGAAGATACAGATTGAAACAGGTTACAATAACCCTATACAGTTTGATTACACTTTTGTCTGCTTTTTGTCGTTGATCACTGCTTTAATTTTGAGCTCAATTTTAACTCAGGAATGTTGTTACGCTATATGTGTGATTGGTGTCGAGCTGTGGCAGTTTATGATCAAGTTAAAACAGATTCTCTGATGCTAGGAATTAAATATTTCAAGATTTCTGTCCATGTTTGGGGCTAGAAAATGATATATTACAGTTTGCTTTGCTGATTTCCTGGTGAATTAACTATAGAATAACTACCAATGAGTGATGAAAGCTTGTGTGTAATATTAGGATGATCTAATTGCCTAGGATCCAAATGATGACCCAGTTTATATATTGTACTACTTTTGTAAATTTGCATGAATTCTGAACTATTTTTAAGACATTTTGAACGTCGTCTCTTTTTATGTGCAATGTTTTGAGTTGTGTGTTATGTGTGTGTGCATTTCCCTCCACTTTTACTCCTCCTCTTCGTTCGTGTGTGGCCTGCCCTGTGACAGACAAGTGTGATGTCGTAGTTGGGCAGAGTGACACCTCCATACAAGCACACACACTTCCTTCTATTTCCCCTTGTTACATTTATAAATAACAGCTGTTTGTGACCCATTATTCATTCTATGGTATCATCGCGTTTCTGAAAAGTGGGATAAAATGCGCTGTTAATTTTTTTTATGAGTGATATTTATCTTACAAGTTGTTTTTGTTTTCTGTGTGTTTTTCTAGCGGTGTCAAATCTCGATGAGGAAAGCAAATGGACTGTCCACTACACAGCCCCATGGCACCAACAGGAGAATGTCTTCCTTCCCGGGAGTCGGCCACCGTGTGTCGAGGACCTCCACCGCCAGGCCAAAGTCAACCTCAAGACCGCCCTCAGAGGTAAGAAGAAATGTGCATCTAAACTGTGCGTCTGTCTTTGATGTGTAGCGTTCTCTTGTGGTGGGAATGTTGGGCATGAAAATATAATGACACAGCAGCTGTTTTGGAACATTGCGTAATTGCTTCCTGTTCTTCCTCAAGAAACGAGCTGAAGCGAGCATAAAATGTTCACACGCTTACAAAATGTTATTATACGTAATGTCATCACTATCGTCACCAGCACGGCAAGGTCATGGCATCATGCTGAAGAAGAACTCTGAGGCTCAAAAAATCTGCCGCAACATGTACTTGTTCAGTGTGATGGTCAAGAAGGGCCACAGTGTAAAAGAACACAGTTGGTTTGTCACGCCGACAAGAGTAAATAAAGTAAATAATGATAGTGACATGAGATTAAATTCTGACAGCTTGCAAATGACACTATTCTCACTCCCACTGAACAAAAAATCCTGGGTGAGGTTCCTTACACAGTGAGCAACTCAGGCTAACAGGTCTATTACTATTCACCATTTAAAACGCCTCGCAAGGTAGACTTTTTGCTGATGCGTTGTAGTCGTTTAGACAGCCATAAAACCTGTTTTGTAGCTTGTTGTTTACATGTGGGTAAATTGAAGACAGATTAAAAAGCGACATACAAGTCACACAAGGGACCTTTATAAAGTTGTCCTTTTGAAAATGTATTTGCAAACGTTTATATTTCTCCATGTAAGTGATACATTTGCCATGGTAAATTATAATATGACTCTTGGGGTTCTGGGAACACTGCGCTGTGACTTGTTTGGTTTGATCCTTCTATTTTGACACCTTCCTGTTTTACCTGTGGCAAAAAGTCGACACAGTCTAAACACACCAGCCTTTCCCGGACTGGGGCGTAACGATTAAACAAGGTATTTCACAATGCAGGTGAAAGAAACATGGGTCTGCAGTATGACATTTTCGAGTGACAGAAGAGTTTTCAGTAGATCTTAATGACATTTTAAAAATAATAATAAAACATTTATTGAAAATAAGCAACAACTCGATCTAGGCAAGGAAAAATTACCTGTGTCATTTTTATTTTTCAACCGCTGGTCTGAAGAAATGTACAAAGAGTTTATTGAGTATTTTTTCCAAAGAGACGAGCATTAACCGGCTTCTGGACTATGATGATGTCATGTCACGGTTCTTGGGAAAGTTGCATTTTCTCACCCATTAGTCAGAAAGGAGGAATGAATAAAAGCAGATTGTATTTGTGTGGTTGTTTGCAAAGGCGTGTGGGGACCAGCTGAACGGCCTTGTTCACTGGAGATAAAACATGCTGCAGTGATAACTGTACTGTGTGTTCTGACTTTGGGCTGGGTGGTCTGGGCCAAAAATAAAATAAAAACTAGCCCTGTTTCCACCAGCCCTACTTGGCCCTACTTAGCCCTACTCGGCCCTACTTAGCCCTACTCCACTCTATACTGTATTTGGCTCTACTCTGTGCGTTTCCGTTATGCTTTAGGATTTGGTACTGCATACGAGAAACAACAAACTGTATCCGGGGAAATGCAGTGGTAACCATGGCTCCCAGCAGCACTCTGGCCAATCATTGGCAGTTAGTACCAACTCGGCCAGGATAAAAACCGGGCTTCGCAAGTACTAAAAAAGTACCTAGTACCAATTAAACAGGGCTTCTATTGGGGTAGAGTGAATAGAGCCAAGTAGGACTGGTAGATACGGGGCAAATTACACATCTCGATTTCTGATTAAAATTTTCAAGTACTACTTTCAAAACAATAATATTATTGCCAAACTTAAAGAACTGCACAATATTTTGGCCAATCGCAGTGAAAGGCAAGGACACATCAAAGCGGTAAAAACTCAAACACTCAACAACTTGTTTCTTCCTGATCCTGACTCAAAATTTGTGAGTTTCCTCTTCAGCCTCTCCTACTGTTACTGGCACATGAAACATACTCTATTTTTGACACAGCTCTACTCCAGCTCTTATTTGTTTGTTTATCTATCTATTTAACTGGTTCATCTGAATGGGACAGTGCAGATTTAGCCATGAAGGCCACAGGTGAAATTCAGAACATTTGAATATCGTTCAAAAGTTTATTTATTTCTGTAATTCCTCTTAAAGTAATGAAACCATTATGAAAACAATACATGGCAATTATAGGCATTTATTTTACAATCTGTGAGCCATAATTATTTGGATAATATTTATGAAGTCTTTATTTGGAAACACATTTTACCAGCCATATAGTAGTTTCCCATTGTTTCACAAGTTGAATTACAGAAGTGAAGGGACTTTTGAACAATATTTCAAGTTTCACCTGTAAGAGTAACTCGTACCCTCATGGAGCCACAAACTAACACCTTCAGATTAGCTTTGCTTTCCTCGTAGTCTTGTACTTTGCATTATTTATACGGTTGGTGGACAAACAACACCTGGGATGTGGATTATTCCCCCCACACCCACACACTGTCAGCTCCCATCACTGCCAACCGGCCCCAGGGGGTCCGAGCTCAGTGCTAACAGGTGCTCCATGACTGCACCTGTCTGTTACGCACACACTGTCACGTCTGCTTAGCGGAGCATCCAAATGCAATGACAGTGTTTCATTTACTAATGTAATGTATATTGAATGTGTTTTATCTGATGTGGGGGGTGTCAAACTCATTTTGGGATTTCCTTTTCTTATAATTGTTTTTTTTTTACATTATGAAGGTATTTGGATATTACTTCAATGTGACATAAGTTTCACTTATATTTTCTCGTGGATTTTTCTAAAAACAAATTGTGTTTATTGTTTAGATTGAACCAAAAAAGGATCAAATATAAAGTTATACACATTGTTTTATATTTAACTATTAAACTTCTAATGATGTGTTGGGTTCAACTTTGAGAATTAATAAAATGTGGTTGTTTTCCTGAGAAAATAGATTATGTATAACATGCCTTGGTAGCCCAAGACCAATGTTGCAAGATATATTAGGAGCCTCCAAAAATTGTCTTGTGAGCCAGATTTTGCCCACGAGCCTGTTTGACAAACTTAATGTGTTTATATACGGTAGTTATATTTATAGCTGTTAATATAGTTAACCCTAAGAAATGTAAATTTAACTGATGCAGGATTAATTGAACGTAGTGAATGGTAAAGTGTTGTGCGGTTGATAGAGATCTGACGAATGCATTTTCATTGTGTATATTGTATTTTATTTCCCCGTAACCAGGGACTGCAGATGAAAAGTAACTCTCTAGTTATAATCTGCTGCAAAATATATCTGTCTCTTTGATTTTATTGTCTCTGTACAGTGTCCTTCCCAATAAAGATGAAAGTAAAGTACCCATGTATAAAGTTCTATGTGGTACGTGGTAGTTTTACAGTGGTATATTTGAAATGGCAAAGCATGAATGGGTAACATTTAAGGACTTGTATCCGCCTGCACGCTTTTGTAAGGTCAGACAGAGTTGAGAGGGACAAATCACCCTAATCTCTTTATCCCAATCCTTTATTTGCATTACCATTAACTTCCAATGCTTGTCTCAGTCCAAACTTAGGTAGATTTCTTCCGTGTGGGTAACATTTTGTTATTGTGATTTTATTCCCCTCTACATTCTACCCTTTTGTTCTGTTTGACATCACAGTCAAACGTCTGTGTGCCGACAACTTTTTGATGTGTTTCATTATATCCCTTGTTGATCTCATTACATTTAGGGAGGTTCCGATAAAGAAATGTTTAGGATCCGATAAGATCCAGATGATTGTCCCTGTTGGAGGTGTACCAGTCCAACAAGTCTAGGGGTGCCCTTACTTTTTAATTAGATGGCCATTTTAATTCACCAGACAACATGTATTTTTACACTGTTTTGACTGACTTTGGGCTGTTCTATGGAGTTTTATGACACTATCAAAAACAAATGTCAGTATATCAGTTTCTTATCTTATAGACAAATACAAATAAAGTTAATTACTGCATTCCAAAGTACCTTAATGGCTACTTAGCGGGCCTTAGTTTGGACATGTCCGTTCCACCCCTGGACATATCTGAAAGTACTCTGGTATCAGCGATTTTTCCGCCATTGTAACATCCCTAATTTCCACTTTATTCCCCAAGTTTGCTATTAATCATAAATCACGGATGAAACTTGACTATGAACCCCTTTCTGAATTTTTACCTAAAACGTCTTGTCGCTCCCTAACTGTGTCTTTGGTGTGACTTGCACTTCTGCCTAGCAACAAGCAGCCGCTCCTGTATATTCTTGATGAACCGTGCCCAATTACACCCCTCCAATCATCTTAAGGAGGCTCGCTCGTCAGCGTATCCTCATTAGCATGACGCTTTCTGAATCCTTCCCTCGACAGGAGAGCTGCTCGTCTCAAACGCCGTCTTTGTTTGCCCCCATTAGAACCTTTTTAGGCGTCACACATGCAGAGGAGCAGATCACCTTAGAGACCAGCTGTAATTAGCAATGGAGATAAACGCCACACAAGACAGTTCAAACTGAGTAACCTTGATGGGACAGGAGGCTTTGACAGTGCCAGTGTGTGCCCGATACTTACACTATACCGGCTTTATGAATAATTCAGCTTGTGTGAGTTGATATAAAGAGCAGGGTCAAACATGAAACAAGGTGTATGCTATGGTTAATGCATGGTAATACGCTTTTGCATTAAGAAATCATTATATATGATTAATTAACTATTTTCTGAGTTCAGATTTAAAACGGGCAAGAGGTGGAGCCCTGAAACTTGGTGTACTGAAATCATTACCTGGAATAAATACAAGGAAAGAATTAGGGAAAGATTCGTGGGAAGCTGTGTAGAATGTGGACTTACTTTCAGGACACAAGCTGGAGTACCTACTTTTAATAAAAATATGTATTTTTTAGGCGCCTTTCTAGACACTCGACGTCGCCTAATAGATAGAATAGATCACAAGTAAAAATAGACGTATTAAAATCCATGTATCTACTTAGTCACTCTCAGGTCACTAGTTTTCACTTGCATGCACTTTTGGCCTGAGTCACATCTTCAGACCAGCTCTAACTCAGCTCTTAGTGTGAAAGATAAAGATATAATGTTGTGGTCTGATTGTTCCCAACAGCGTGTTTGTCCGTGTGTGTGTAGTTGTGTCTGTCCCTGTGCTTGTTTTTCTGTATTTATGTGAGTATGAATGTGTCTGTGTGTGTGTCTTTGTGGGTGTAGTGGTGTCTGCCCATGTGTGTTTTATGTGTGTCTGTTTGTTTGGTTGTATCTATCCCTGTGCTTCTAAGCCTGTATTTGTGTATGAATGTGTATGTGTGTGTATGTGTCTGTGTGTGTGTGTATATGTGTGTGTCTGTGCATTCAGTCATAGTTGTATCTGTTACTATATCCCGTGTCTCCATTGGTCGGCAGCACAAACAGCAGGTGGTGCGGAGCGAGGTGTGAGCTGCGTCTGGCTCCATCCAATGAGCGCCGTGGTCATGTGACGCCATACCAAAACCCTCTAAATGTTTAATGACCAGTTACCGCTACTTGGCATGCTAATCGTGTACAAAGTATATGTACAGTAATGACGTGAGCTCCGTGGAAATGTATATTGCATTTCCTGGTAAATTGCACTAATGAACTTTTAATCTCCATTTCAAATTTGTGGGATTGTCTCACATGGGAAGCTTGTTCAATACCTAAAAGAAGGTGAAATGGAACTAATGCCATACTGTGAAACTATTTTTCCATTCCTTTGCCTGACTAGCCCACAATCATATATTTTACTATTGGTTAAAAGTGTTGAAAACAATTGGAATGGGGATTTCAGATCTATATTTTCCTCTCAGTTTAACATATCCAGACATATATCCATTGTAGGAGACATTTTTAGAATATCAAATAAATACAGTTAAATAAAATTACATTGTTTTACTAGAAGGGGCACTGTGACTGAATTAACACATCTCTATTTGTATTTCAGATTGTGACAAACTGAGGAAGGATGGTTTTCGGAGTTCCCAGTACTACTCTCAGGGCCCCACGTTCTCTGACCCCCTCCAGTCCGGCAGCCTGCAGGACGAGGAGGACGACATCGACACGAAGGTTCGTCTCCGACTTTGGATAAATGTCCTTCAGAAGTCCAGTAGTGACACGGTGGTCTATTTGTGGGTGTTATACTACCATCTAGTGGCAACATGCGGTGCTGCATATTATTACTCACATTAAACTTGAGGATCCTTTATTTTCCTACTTTATAATACATTTTCTTTGCCCCAACAGAAAGAGTCCTGTGAAGTAAATTTTTGTGATCAAATAAGACCACACCTTGCTTTCTTCATCTGTTTGATAACACTTTTGCCTACTAAGCACATCTCTTTCTGAGAGCTGATTGGCTGAGTGTGGTTGGTCCGCTCTTTTTCACTTTTAAGTCTGAAAAAGCTGATTTAAAAATGCAACAGAGACCAAAAATACATGCAAGAATAAAACTGTTTTGTGAGCTAGATTTGTTATATAGTTAAATTTTTGTTGTTTTAAAGTTGAGTATCCCATCTTTAAAGAAGGATGAAGGACCTGTAGTTGCATAGCGTGACGAAGGATCTAATGAAAATATCTGATATGAACAGAATCATGATCATTGTTTGTTCTAAAAATAAAGCAATAATGTGATCAATGTCTCATGTTTTCTGAATTGTTGTTCCTCCTCTTGCAGTCGATCACATCTTCAGCAGAGGATAACAAGTCCCAACTGTCCGTGAGGTCCCAGACGCCTCAGGAGGAGGATGGTCGGGTGGTTTGGACCAAGGCCGCTCCACTCCCCACACCAGAGGAGAGGATGAGGCAGGCGGCCCAGGCTGTGCCCACAGACATCGTCCCTATTAACGTAACAGGTATTTGCTCCTTCACCACAGCTATTATATGTGGCTTTTTGATAAAACACAATAAGAACTCATTAAAACCAAAAAGAGTTACAAGTAATACACAAAAGGAGATATACAGTATTTTGCTAAATCGACTTTTTTGAGGTTTTAACCATGTCATTGTTCCCTCATCGAAAACTGACCTGGATTTTTTTTTGGACACAACCAGGTTAATATCAAGAACTGAGTGTGATGTCATAGTGGTACAATGACATCACACTCCAGCCAGTCATTTTCAACTCATCCTTCTGGTGGAGGGATAGGGAGTTACAGGCAGACGGCATTTTTTACCCTTAATACTCCTTACTACTTAAAATAAAAAAACATGAAAGTAAATACTGTAATTGTTATTTGAATGGCCAAAAATGACAACAACAAAAAAATCAGCTTGAGGACACACCCGCTCTACCCGAGACCTCACTCTGTGTTTAGAGAGAGCTCCTCCTGCTCCTGACCATTCTCTGTGGTCGTGTGCATTTATTAGTTTTAGGGAGTTTGACAGCTCAGGCGAGGGTCCAGAATTATGACTGTCAGATGTCAATGTTTGACAGTTAATTCAATTCATGTTATATTCCCTGGATGTCACTATCATCAATGCACCATTTGGGACCAATTACTTTTCAAAATCTGTGGACAATTTAATATGTGCTGAGCAGGGTGTTGTTTAAGTCACTTATTTCCTTATATAACTGTGTTTGGTTTGCACAACACAAAGTGAGTGTAGTGTTATAGAATGATGTACCAGCATAATGCAGGTTCAATTACTACAGGAAACAGGGTGGGGGTAAATCTGGTGCAGCAATCTTTTTTTAATGCAAAAAGCTGCTAAACATGTCACAATTTCACATTTTAGAACAGACAAAAACATACAGGTATTGTGAGAAAAAACTGTTTAAAAAAATCTTTTAAAATTTTACAATTACTCTGCTTGATGCAATGATGTTTATTTGAGCATAAAACAAATACAATGAAATGTGATTATCGAATAAAAATATGCAATTTCTCTTGATTAGATTCAAATTCCTCTGCACTTGAAACCTACTTGCGACTAAACCTACTTGTTCAATATATAAAAAGAACAGTAGATTAAATGTAAAATGATTTATTTTTATTCTAAAATTATCATGACTGCTACTTTTGCTGTTTGTATAAATAAAAACAGAATTATTTTAAGTCACAAACTAATAATGTGCTTTGCCATTTGGTGCAATATCAAATAGTTAAAAATATAGAAATAAAGGCATGCATAAAACATCTTAATAAATTTCTAACGTATAAATATTATTCACATTAGACATATAGCGGTGTAAGTTATAAAATCAAAAAGTGTTGATTTTCGCAATTATCAAATAACATAATAATCTTTACATCACGACAAGCTGCACGTCTCTTTTCAGATAAATAAACTAAAGCTGATAACCAACACTTGCGTCGCAGATTCTGCCCTTGTCATATTGGATCTCCCTCTGGGCCCATGATCCCATAGACACTAATAAAGCCCTAATGTGTTTCCTCTCCTCACAAATCACTGTTGCCTTCGCCCTGCTGCCACTTTCCATTACCGAGCGAGAGACGCAGAGCACGGACTCTGGAACAGATCAGGGCTTTTCCGTCACCGAGCAGGAGACGTGCCGGACACAACCCTCAGACCGTTCCCCACGTCCCTGATGCCTGCACAGTCTCCGCTAGACTCCGCCCTCTGTTTGAAACTCGCCATGTGCTGATAATGTTCCCTGCCTCTCAGCCTCTGCATGTCCACAAAAACAATGAATAGTCACTTTAACTGAATTGAAGGTCTCAAACTCTGAAACTAGATTTTATTTCTTCAAACTCAGCCATGTAAATGAACAACCACACAGATTTTAATAGGTTGCGTTCATGAGACGGCCATTCCAAAGAGCCTATATAGCTTCACATTGTGGTGAAGGCAGCTGACAAATCTTCACTAGGCTAACTATCCAAATTCAGATTTCTAGTCTTAGTTTAGAGCTGCCCGTGACTCGGCAACCTTTAAAGTAGAGGAGAATCCAATCCACTTGCAATTAAAACTATTCCAAAGTTTCACATTCATCAACTATATGGTCTAATTATTTTCTCATACGGGAAAGTGGAAGACTAGACTTAGACTTAGACAGATTTTATTGATCCACAAGAGAAATTGCGTTGTCACAGTAGCTTGCATAGTATTTCACAATAAAAAAATAAAAACATTAAAGCAACAATCTAAGAATAAGAATAATAATAAGATGATATTTGTGAGAATCGAATAATCTGGATAGAAGTACTCAGGAAAATAGGATAAAATAGAATAGTGACAATACATACATTATATCACAGTAGTATGGTGGCTTTCTGAATCTAATCACGGTATTAATTAATGGGAAAACATGTGGACAGTGTCTTGTTCAACCTCTCCCTCCCATAGCATTGTATTGTTACCTACCCTCCAAACTGCAATTATTATTATTATATCACGAACGCAACCTATTAGCGCTGTAGTTCAAATTCCACGTGTACATTTTGCCACTGCTCTTTGAAGTTGTTATCCTAGAAACTAATGCATGGTTTTATTTAACATTATATAAAGTGCATGTGAAGTTTTTCCCCATAACTAACTGTTGCCTGTGTCTGCACCTGCCTTGCTCTCGCTCTCCGACCTCCAGGGCAAGTGTTTGACCGCCAGGCCAGCATCCGGCGCTCCCTCATTAACACAGACACCGTGGCCCGACGGTCCAAGAAGGTCAAACGCAGAAAAACTATATCAGGGCTGCCCGACAACTTCAACCAGGACTTAGGTATGGGTCACTGTGGGGCGGCAACCAGCGCCCTCCACTGTCCATAGAATGTAGTGCAAGTTTAGTCCTAGCTGTAGTTGTAGCTGTTGTACTAGTTTTTTGTTTTGTGTGTTTGTCGGAGATGTTTCTGCCATGATGTGAGTCTTTTTCTTTCAATTTCATTTTTGGTTGGTTTGATTTGGGACATTTCTGGGTCACACTATACATCTTTTAAGGGCTTTATGTGCTTTATTTGTACAGTGCAATCATTGTGTCCTGTCTGTCCATTGCATCTCTCCTATTTATTTGGGTTTCGTCCTTAGTCAGAATTATTCACAAGACAGTATTTCCTCCTGTTTTAATATTGATGTTAAATAGTATTGAACTGGAAGGAGCAGGTTTTTAATGGTCTATTCCTTGACATAAAAATGCAATCCAAAGTGTTGAACGTAGAACAAAATCAAAACAGCAAATGAAAGTCAGAGAATTATAGTTTAGTTAATCTTGAATGTGCTCAGGGTCGGATCATGTTCGATGTTGTACTGGCCTGTTTTCTTTCCCCTTTAGAAGTTAATGCAAGGAGTAATCATTATCTTATGCCTCATATCCCTTTTCCTGGATTTCATCAACTAATGCAAAAATGTCTTTAGTGGTATTTGGACCTAAATGTGCTGTAAATTATCTACAAGTTCAATTCCTCCTCTGACTTTGGACTGTTCAAACTGGAGTAATTCTGGCTTAATTCTAGTTTAACCCCCACATGTTTATTTACACATGTCTTCACTGCAGGGCACCACTGTTGAGGCAAAGCAAGTCCACTGCGATAAGATCAAAGCTGATGGGGAAAAGAGATTTAAGTCTGGTGTGATCCCAGCTGCTGACTGGCTCTGAATGTCATGATTACTGGGCTGGGGTAATAGTCCCCATCCTTCCCCTCCTCTCCCCCCTCTCCCTCTCTCTTTTTTTCTCTCCTCTCCTCGCTCTGATGCTGCCTGAGAAGTACTAGACCTGCAGCTTAATCTATCGCAGTAGCACAGAGGCGAGCCAAGCTGTCACTTCAGGGCTTTAGTGAGGAAGAGGAGAGGATGTGTGTGATGCTCAGGACAGAGGGAAATGCGAGGAAAGATGTTGGGGAATTCAAAGACTATTGCAAATGGAATAAAGCAGTCGGGTTTGCCAGTTGTTTGATCATTTGTGCGTTTCACTGGTACGTTTTTGTGTTTGTGTCTTCACCTTTAATTTTGTCTGCATTCTGCGCACTTGACCCTGCCTGTGCATGTCTCCTTGCAGTTCTGTGTTTGCTCACTATGCTTCTATTGTAGACTTAAAGTGTTATAATATGTTTTGTCTGCTCCACTCTAATGATACGTGTTACTCTAGCAGTAGTAAGTTACTGATAAATGGCCTCCCAGTGATCAATAAAACACTAACTCAAGTTGTATCATAGAGCTATTTACTCTATATTCAATGTAGTTAACTTATGTTTCTTTTCTTTTTTTCCTTTTAACAGCACCACCAGGATGCTGTGGAGATGCACGGCCACATTCAATGTTCATCCCGGGACAATATTCTACTTTAGGACGAACGGGAAGTATGAACTCAATGCTCCGAAAGTCCGTGACTAGAGACTCCTGCTCTCAGACAGAAGAGGTGAAAATAGTCCCTCCGTCCATGAGGAGGATCCGCGCTCAGAGGGGACAGGGCATTGCTGCACAGATGGCGGGGATTTCAGCTTCATCCTCGACTGGAAGTATATCCATCTCCAGTTCAGACAGCTCTGGCATAGTCATGATGCCTCAGTATAATGGAGACATGTCCCGCTTTCACAGCCTGCCTCGGGGCGCCAGGGTGTCTCTAAGTGCAGATCCCATCTACAGCAGCACCCCGGTGAAATCAGAAGAGTGCGGGTCACCTCAGGGAAGAGTAGGGAAGCTTCGGGTGGATGATACGGCGGTCCACATGAGAACTGCCCCAAGAATGAGCACCCTGCCCCGGCCGAAGTCACAGGAAGTGAGAGGAAGCCATGTCAGTGAATGGGGCGGGGGTCCTGCCTGTATGGTCTCCCCTCATGCAGCGTACTCCACCTCATATATTCCAAATGCCACCATGTCCAGCTCATCTGAGGTGATTACATTAAACTCATCTGGTCACAGTCCGCCCACCGCAGTAGTGCTCCCCAACGGTCGTCCCCTCAGTGTGGCATCAGGGACTGGTCCACTGACACCTGGGTCTACACCCTTCAGCCACAGCAGCACCTGTCCAGCACTGGCCACTTCCACTCCTGTGGCTAAAGCTCAGGGCACAGGCACTGCCCCGGCCAGTGAGTCTGGACACTCGGACAGCAGCTCACACAGCCACAGCACGTTGGCCCCAACACCTCCATCCTGTCCAGAGGAGCAGTGGATCTACGATACACCCGAAAATGTTGTGGTCCCACATCGTACTCTCACGTCGAGCTGCTCCACACCCATAAACCAGCTGTACAGCAGTCTGGAGCGCTCATCCAGAACCACCACTGACTCCAGTTCAGTCTACTCCCAGGACAATGATGGCTATTTCACCTCCATGCACTTGGACTCTGGTTTGCGCTCACGCAGCCACGGCAGCGGCCATGGGGCAGCTGTTGGGCGGGCCACAAGACACAGCATGTATGAGTGTCGAGAGATGGCCAATAACGAGGACTCTGCAAGTTTATACAGCGACAGATCTTTATCTCGAAGCATCTCTCTGCGCAAATCCAAGAAGCCCCCTCTACCCCCAGCCCGCACAGACTCTTTGCGGCGCAGACCTGGTGAGAAAAAGCCCCTGGGAGGCGTCAGAGCCATCGGTGGAGGCTCTGAGTCCGTGCTCAATGAGAGTCTGATTGCCAGTCTGCAGCAGAGTTTACAGATCGGACTGAGAGGAGGAATAGGGAAAAGTGTATCCCCATCTTCTCCCTCCCACAGCCCGAGCAGTGACTATGACGACCCGTGGGTGCTGCGGCCGCGCAGTCACAGCAGCATCAGTGCAGGCAGCTCAGCAGCCTCACTGGGAGTGAACTCTGGTGGAGTGTCCAACATGTACTCTCTCTGTCAAGTCACTCCAGCTCAAAGTGAAACCAGCAGCTTGCGCTCTGACTATGCAGAGTCCTGGGGATATTACATGGAGTATCCTCGCAGTCAAACTGACCAGGGAGCACAGTCTCCAGCTGCCACCTCCACGGAGACTATCTCAGCAGGGGTGCACCCCGGAGATCTCCAACACAATGGGGGCAGCAACAATGTCCAATCTTCTACAGCTCAGCAGGGAGAAGCAGTGAAGCCTAAAACCTCACCTGACAGAGTACATAGACTCACCTCTCCCTCTAGCGGTTACTCCAGTCAGTCCAACACACCCACTGCTGGAACCCCTGTGCCCTCATTTGTCCGCTCCATGTCCCCTTCTGGAAGTCGCCCCAAACCCAAAGTCCCAGAGAGAAAGTCCTCCCTGGTCTCTTCTCTGTCCATGTCCTCTTCATCCACATCTCTCTCTTCCATCACATCAGACTCTCTTAAAAACGCACCGCCGCCTCCACCTCCACTGCCTGTCTTCTCCTCCTCTGCTCCCAACACCCCCCTGAGCGCTCCGCCTCCCTTCCCCGCTCCTCAGGCCCCCTCGGGCTCCGCTCCTCCACCACCGCCACCCCTACCAGCCACCCCACCAGCTCAGGCCCTAAGCCCGCCCCCTGCCTGTTCCACTTCCCCCGAGTTTCCTCCTCCTCCATCCCCTGATGTACTAATCCCCCCCAGCTCATCCTTCTGTGGGAGCTTCAGCCCACCTCCTCCCCCACCACCATACCCCAACATGGAACCCCCTCCACCACCGCCACTGCCGTCTTTTGTCGCATCATCTTCCTCTCCGTCTGTTGTCAAAACACCAAAGCAGCAGCAGCCTCCTAAAGAGGCTCCGTCCGATAGCGCCATGCTTTCTCCCAAACCTCTCATCACACCATTCGCCCTGCAGAGTGTCCAGCTTCGATCAGTAAAACGTCCTGAAAAGGAAATAGACACAGACTTGGACCTAAGCAATAACCTCAAATCTCAAACTTTTGACTCAATCACACAGAATGACCGTCTCAATGGTTCTATTGAAGACGTGTCCCGCCAGTCAACGCCGTCTCCTGTCTCAAAGCTGTTAGAGGAGTTGTCGTTCGACTCTTGCTTCATCACCGAGTATCAACACATGAACGGCAAAGACAATATTGATGATCAAGAGGCATGGAAAATCTCACCACAGACCTCTCCAGTCAAGCAGCCTCCACCAATATCCAAAAAACCTCAAAATCCTTTCACACAACTCGTCAGTCCACAACCAGAGCAGATTCACAGACAAGAGCAAAATGGGTTGATGTCTACAGGAGATCATGTCGATGGTCTGACTAATGGGCTGGAGGAAGACGGAGACACTTCAGAGAGCTCTGAGCCTCTGACAGAAAGTGGCAAAACATTTGGAGAGCCACAAGAAGAAGACTCCAGTCCAACCAGTCCAGAGTTGAGTGTGTGCAGCAATGGACACAATGAAGAGGAGGAAGAAGAAGATGAGGGCGATGGGACGAGCAGCACGACTGGATCTGTCAGCTCCAAAGAGGATGACGCAGGTGAGATTTTTTATGTATTAAAGCTTGCAAACAGATGATCCCAGCAACATGAGGAATATGCTGTAAAACATTAGAATACTCCCCTTATATGTAATTGTACTGAAGATCCTTTATTTGCAGTAAACTCACAGTGGGGAAAATCCAGACAGTTTTAATTAAGCAAGATCAGGGGTGTCAAACTCATTTTGGTAGGGGCCAGATTCCAAAAAGTGTTTAAAGCTCTTTGCTCCTGTGGGTTAGTTTGTCAGGTATTTTGACAAAAGGAATACTTTAATTTAACCAGAGTTTGGATATTATTTTCAGGGAGGTTTTACAAAATGTTAGGACCCAAACTGGGTGGGTTAAAGGATTGGCAGATGTTTTTTTATATTTTCAAATGAACTATTACGTGTTGTTCGTCATAAAGTTGCTCTGTGCCACATCTACCTAAACTTTCTCACTATGAAGCTAGCTCTTGACAACAAAGTTAATCATTTTGTTTACCCAAACTGACCTCAAACTTTGAAAGACTTCCCATATTTGCGGTCGATTATCGTCCAAACGGGCAACACTGGCCTCCTGTCAACAGACCTCACTCGAAAAGCATTAGCCGTAAATGTTTAAAATTCTGTGGAAACAGCTCTGCTTATCAGTGGGACAGCAGTGCGGCAGCTTTCTGGATCTCCTCTCTTTACTCTTCCCTTTTTACTCTGTGTACTGTGCCGCTCTTATGGCTTCGCTCCCATTTCCCCATGCATTGCTCTGTTCCATTTTTTTTCCTCCACTCAATCCAGCCTCCTGTCTTTCGCACCCCCCTTGAGCAATCCATCCTTATTTTCAAATATGTTTTGTGTCGGCCTCTCATCTTGGCTGGAAATCTCCCCATCCTACTCCAGTCTCACTCACTAGAAGGTGAGGGAGGGGTGCGTGGCTGTAAGTCCCATGAGGAGATGCGAGTTTTCGGGCAAGGGGGAGGGGGAGGGGCTTAGTTGCATCCGAAAAGGAAGGGGAGGGGTGGGGAGAAAAGAGGGATGTAGAGGAGGATGCCTGCAGAAGCAGAGGCAGTCGAATTGCAGACGTGAGCGCGAAGGTTGAGACGGAAGAGGGGAGGAGTGAAGGGGCTGAAAAACTCCAGCTGAAGAAATGCACTCACGGGGGACTTTCAAACAGATAAAGATGTATGCGGCAATACAAAGCCTTCTCCTTCAATTTAGATGAAAAATGCGCACTCTTAACTTAGGCAATGGTAATTTCTAACTGTCACTTCTTCCCGTAGGTGAGGTGTTTGATCCAGTCAGCACGGCAGACAAGTCGCCAGCCCGGGAGAGAATGGTGACCCCTACACCTTCCCGTCCCAGAACCACGGAGGACCTCTTTGCCGTCATTCACAGGTGAGCAAAAGTAGCTTCTGTCAAAACCAAAAACAATACATCCGCTCCTGTTCCTGTACGTGCCTGTGTGTGTGTATGACTATTTCTGTCTCTCCTCTCTCTGTACATCGCTGTCAGCATCTCATCTCATTTTTCTCTCTGCCTCGTAACCCTGAACTTGACCGCTCACTCCCCCTCACATCACCCTTGAGGCCATGGCTTCTCTGCTTCCACCTCCATCCCCCCTGCGCTCCATCATATGTCATAACTTTAGCTTTGGCCATTCATCACATTCCTGCTTTATGGGCTCTCTGGATAAACTGTTTACACCTGCGAGCACGTGCCCCATCCTCAATAAACATACACCCCCGCCCTCGTTAAATTAGCAATTCTCATTTTGACTTAAAAGGCTGTTGCTTCATCTATATTTGAACTACTCAACACCCGTGCTACTAATCTAGGTTAGAGGCCACCAGAGAGAGCCAGTTGTCTATCTGCTCTCGTGCACTTCGTTCTGACATATATTGCATACAGTACGTTCGCTCTTCAAAGCTGGAGGAGACATAAATTTCTCATGCAGCCTGCACCAGTTTGTGTTTCACGGTCACGTGGGGCAGCAGTCAAGAGTCCTCTTAGCCATCGCAGGATTTCATTTCATGGGATTTCACTTCCTCTGGCAGCACTCGTACCGCACTTTTACTCAAGATGTGTGTGTTATGTAATGTTGACTTGTTCACCACAGGAATTGTTTATGAGAGCATTCTTAAAGCTACTGGTATTTGTGATGATGTATTTCAAGCCATATCCTGGGTTTCCAAAGACAATAGAAACCAGCGAGATTTCAATTTATAATAATTCAATTAAATGAATTTTTGCATAGCCCTAAATCACAACAGCAGTCGTCTCAAATAACTTTACAAGGTTGTTGATTCGCCAACAACAGATCAGAGAATCAAACAGTTCGAACACAGACAATGCAATAATAACAAAAACATAGTAGCCATTGGTCCATAGGGAGCAGCATGACCAATGTCCATTAGTTTTTATAAATAAATAAATACTTAAATGTCTTGGATCATCACTGTCCTTAGACCCTCCTGCATCTGCAAGGAACTGCTCCTTGAAGTCTATAAACTCCTCCAGCTCAGTGACTGTTTGTGTCATACTTAAAATTCCTGGTGTTTATATGATATTGACTTTGTAAATCCAGATATGAGCCATTTAAGGATTGACCAATCAGATGCTTTTATTTGCTAATCATTGATTGTTCAAGTCACAATATAATCGCACAAACTGATCTTGGCAGACTATCCTTCTCATCGTGTTGGCCGAGTACCACTATAAGTTTAGTTACATTCGATTCTTATCAATAGTGAAGTTTGTTCCATATGCAAATGTTATTTTCTAATATGATTAATTATACATAACATATTATACCAATACCTCATTAGTAGAGCATTGGTCTTTGGACGTAATGATCGTGGGTTTGATCCCCCCACGACCCATGTGGGGGGATATATTCTGTAAATATTTGGTGTTTAATCTCACAATAATTTTTTCACACAAAAAAATGTAATCTGTGAGGATGTGATCAAGAATAATAAATAAATTGGTGATCATGATTAGTGATGTCACAAGCTCGAGCTCTGTTGCACTTTCCTAATGAAACTAATTTCTCTGTCTTCAGTCATTTGGTCTGTTTAGCTGTGATCAGAGAGAAGACTCGGGTGTTTTATGCTGAGAATCTCTTGCGTAACATTGTAGTGTGGCGTGCCCATAGAAGACAAACGCAACTATTGAGGGGTTGAATTTAGGGCAGAGCAGTTTGGAGTTTTTAGGAACCAGCGCACACCTCATTCCACTGCACATTCTCTCTCTGACCTTCACACCCTCCTCCTCCACAGCTTGTTCTGTACCATTTCTCTCTCTAGATCCGATCTTCCGGATTAGGCTTTACATCTCACCTTGCCTCGAGTCCTTTTTAATTCTGTGATCAAACCACTTTCTTATCAGCCATCTTTTTTTCACGCTTTTTACCATCTCTTTAGCAGAGTAAAGGGAACGCACGCTCAAGACGAGGTTCAAAGTGGCAAATGGACTGCTCCCATAAATAGCTTTGTTACTTTGCGATGCCGCTACCTTTGCATTTTAAATAAGTGAGCAAGCCGTATGACGTTCCCATAGACTTGCCCTGCTTTTTACTATTCATGCTTGTTGTACTCAGCGTCTCATAACAATACACTACATTACTGGAATAGTACAGGGTTATCTTTTGCTTGTGAGCCTGGTCAAAGTCTCAGACTGTATATAGATAGATATTGGTAACCCCCTAGCTCAATGAACGCCAATATCAAAGAGCTCATGGATGAAGTTTTGTTCCTACTCGCTCTGGCCCCTATTGACTTACATTAAAAAGTAAACTCCTAGTTCAGTAACCGATTGTGTCACACTCACCATATTGGGCTTTAAAAAACCTGGTTTAGCGCTCTCTTCGATCCTGTTGTTATCTATAAATGGATTCAGATTCTGATTCTGATGATTCAGATTCAGATTCTCTCCAATCCTGTTGTTATCTAAATATTGGGATATGGTCTTTGTAAATCCAGATATGAGCTTAAACAATTGACCAATCAGGAGCCTTCTGTCGCTGAATCTGGCTATAGCTATTGGCGCTCCTCTTTCCCGTTCAAATAGCCTGTTTCGTGCTAGCTCTAATCGGCTTCTTCCGCATTAAGGCAGACACTATGGGTTGCCTCAGCACTCTTGTCAGTCCACTGCTAATATACAGTCGATGGTTATCCTGTATATAAAATGGAAACACCAACTACTCCTAACTCTCGCTGAGATTTGCAGTACTGTCCTCTTGCCCTCTTAAAGCCGCTTTGGGCACTATTCCCAGTTTGTTTTCTGATTAATTTCATTGTGCCTATAGTCTTGGCTTTTCCGCTGAGTAGCCACATCGACAGTTTTCTCTTTCCCTCAATTGAAAATGCTAAATTATTCCACGTTTGAAGCCTCTCCCATAATTATGCCTTTTTCATTGACTATTCTTTTGTTTATTACTGATTCGTGTGTGCGATTGCTGCGGGCATCGCAAACATATGGCAAATTTGGGACAACAGTTTTTGAGTGTGCTTTCCTCGGGGGGACTATGCAGAAGCGCAGGGAGACCAGTTAATGAGTTGTAGAAGAAAGACATATCCTGTAGGCTTAAGTCGAATTTAAATTGGTACTTTTTGAGCCCAACTCTCGATGGATAATAATTCTGTTTCTGGATGGAGTTTGCGATCCCCTGTGACATCTTGATTAACCCAGATCCACTTCTCCATCTTGTCTTCTGTAGCAGGAGAAACACATCAAATCATGTTGAAGTGTAAAAGTACGATGTGATATTATAATAGATCCATGATAATCCCACACTCGTCTCGAAAAGGAAGATTCCACTTTAGAAACTGTTGCATAGAACTGTCTGAAAATATAACTTTGCCAACAGTGTAAAGGTGAACAGAGGCAGCTATCTAAACTGGAGTGGTGGCAGGACCCAACTCACAACCAAGCCGTGACCCAAAAAATAATTGAATTTGATATAAAAACAAATTAGTCATGTCAAATACTGTATATTTTCACAAATTATGAATTCATCATTCTTTCATGTTTTGTTAGAATTGAATAACACTACAAAAGCTTAAATTATGAACACAATTGATTCCCAACATAATCAGCAACAATCCCAACAATGTAAAAAAAAAAAAAGAAAAAGTCAGTTAATTTAGATAATTCTTGTCTTTATTTTGAGCTAAGGTTAAGTTACCGAACGTTTTTGTTATAATCCATGTAGTTTGTCCCAATAGAAAGGCTTCTAAAAGTAACATCATGGACAAATCTGACCAGAACATGCCGTCTACATGCTAAAAACCATGTTATCTTCCTCATTCCTTGAGCCTCGTGAGTCATTATTTGACTCTTTGGGCTGAGAGCTGATTGGCTGTGTGAGGGTTTTTTCCAAGACATTTTTTTCAGTGTAGTAGTATTTTAAAATGATCCACAGTTGAGAACCGCTGCTTTAAGCCTGTTTGCCATGTGATAAAACATTCAATTCAATTCAATGTATTCTTGTATAGCCCTAAATCATGACAGCAGTTATCTCGGAGGACTAATATTCAACCGTTGATTTCGCCAACACAGATCAGAGAATCAAACGGTTCAAACAATAAAACAGAATGTCCATATGTGTTTATAAATGCCTTTAATAATTTCACTTATTACCGCTGTATTAACCTCTCTCTCTCTGCCACAGGTCCAAGAGGAAGGTCCTGGGTCGCAGCGTATCCGACGATGAGCGTACGCGGCCCGCCTCCCAGCCCTGCTCCCCGCCGGTGACCCCCACCAGCTGCAGCGCGGGCCCGGTCTCCCCTCTGGTCTCCCCCTTGGTCTCCCCCCTGCCCCGCCAGACCAGCTCCATCCAGAGATCCCTGCGCAAGTCCTCCACCAGCAGCGACTCCTTCAAGGCCCTGCTGCTGAAGAAGGGCAGCCGCTCCGAGACCAGCTTCCGGATGTCCGCCACCGAGATGCTGCGCTCCACCGACCCGCGCTTTCAGAGGACGCGCTCAGAGTCGTCCCTGGAGCCCCCCGCCTCCCTCGGGTCTCCCCTCTCCTCCGCCCCTCACAGTCCCTGCGCCTCGCCGGGACGCAGCAAAAGACCCGCGGACGAGTGGGGGCGCTTTGACTCGTTACCTCTGGCCTCGCCCACTTCTCCCTCGTTCGCGTTCGGCGGGATGAAGTACGGACGGTCGCGCACGCCGCCTTCCGCCGCCAGCAGCAAGTACAACGCCCGCAACCGGATACTGAGCAGCCCCATGACGGTTATATGCGAGCGCGAGGGCGAGTGGGGGGAGAGCGACTATAACGATGCGGTGGACAGCCTTTCAGCTCTCAATGACTCCAACGGCACTTTATCTGAAGAAAGCAGGAGCTAGATCGACATTGATTGACAGTAACAGACTTACAGAATACGCCGCTAAAGCACAGGTGTCGAACTGGTTCCAGAGAGGGATGTTGTTGATGTTTCAGGTTTTCGTTCCAACCAAGCAGGAGCAGCTCAGACTCCACCCATTTCCTTCAGTCTCAAGGTTAAGACTGGACTCACTGGAGGAAACGGGTGGAGTCTGGTGTGCTCCTGCTTGTTTGGAATGAAGACCTGCACCCACACCGTCACTTTGAGGACTGGTTTAGACACCTCTGGTCTAAAGACTGGCACCATCCTAAGACACAGCACTGTCTCAGCCGGCGGTCAGAGAAGTAGCCTGGTTCCGCCGGTTTTCAACGTCCGTAGTTCTTTCATTTGGAGTAGTTTTTACGTCAAAGATCCACAGAGATGTTTTTACTTTTACGCCGTTTAAAGCTGGGATGCCTAACTTTTTACCCCACACAATCCATGTTCTTTGTCCCACCAAAAAGCGAAAAATGCTGTGAACAAATCAGACCACCAATTAGAAGAAAACATGTGATCTTTTTCACAACTTGTAAGAAAGACCCCTGAGAGTCACTATATCGGTTGAGTGGAAAATCTCTCTGACAAAACTGATGAAAAGATGTGACGAAAGCCAAAAAATCCATACATGCAGTAACACAGATTTTATGACATAGTAACGCTTTGTGTGGCTTGAAAGTTAGGTTCCCCAACTTTAAATGCCATAACGTGGAAATTCAAAGCAACGATATCTCCTTGGATCGTCTGCATCATGCTTTTCTTCATACACATTGTTGAGTTGGGATTCTGTGGGACTATAATGGGAATTCCAAGTCCAACCAGGGCTCCAGACTTTGACCAAGTCTTAAACAGGCAAACTCTAGCATCGCAAAGATAAAAAAAAGGCTCTTGGTAATGATAACCACATCTACAAATAGGAATACAGATGGGCAAGATCGCGGTCGGTTGGTTGTGTGTCTATAATCTAACCATTCATTTCTTTTGAACCTTCTCAAACACTATACAGAGGTTGCAATGGTGCTATGTAGCAAGTGGGCAGATGTGAATGTAGAATGTGGCTCTGGTTTAAAGTCGCCGTGGTGAGACTTGGCCTGAATGTGCCCTCTTCACTGGCCACAAACCCACATCCCTACATCCCTAATGGTACTTCTGTGGGATCACCGACAGCCGCATGGGGCAGTTAAATGGGTCACTTTGCAGAGAGTTTTGACACTGCCACACATGTTCAATGGTGAAGTGTGCGACTGGACCGAAATCTGCAAATAACCATTATGTGTGTTGTTTTGTTTGTACTGTTTTTGAACTGTGCATAGTCATTATCTTTGTTTGTGACACGTTTGAAAGATGACGTCACGTTTTGTTTGGTAAGGAATACTGTTAAACTTACGTATACATGCTGAAGCGACAGAGGAAAGTCTATTTTAGTCATCATGTTGGTTACCAAAGAGCTGAAAGGAGAAATGAGAATCTGAAGGGTGTGGCCACTGTCATTGTTTTCGCTAAAATCACCCAAATAACTATATACTTTTGCAGTTTTATATGGTTCTGTATGTAAATATGAAGAGAAATGCATTTTAAGTACCATTTGACTTCTCAAAAATATCTTTGTACTATTTTAGTACCCTGTGTTTGCTGAAAGGGAGTGGTTTTCCTTTTTTTTTGTATATTATTTATTTGAAAATAGCAGGGCTGCAAGTCATGTGACCTGACCCTGACCCAAGCAGATGAACTGAGATTGGTCGAAAATCTATTTGTATTGGTGCTTAAAGTTCAAAATAATATAACGTTTTGCCTTTGACTGCCATTCCCGTTCTGAATTGACTTTTCCTTGTGGCAATTTTTTTTTTGACCAATCTCCCGTCACCTGCTGATGTATAGGAGCACTTTGGACCAGGTTCTCCTCATGCCTCAAAAAGCAAAACGTGAAATACAAAGTACATGGAGGGCAGGCTGCTCATGTGAATATGTCTGTGTAATTAAATAAGGTGATATTAAAGATCTGTGTGGTGTTTCTTTATTTCCTTTAGCTGATGTGTGTTCAAGTCTTTTAGCTTCTAACCATGTTACGTTGTTCCCTCATGAAAAACAGACCTAGTTTTTATTTCCATCCATGCAAATATTACATTACATAATATAAAGGTTCCTAGTTACTCCCAAAATTGTGCGTATCTCAAAAGCATTGGCTGCATTTGCACATACAAAATTCTAATCTAGTCATAAACCACCTATGGCTGCAAAGGAGTTATTGATTCAGCTCATTGCCAATACATTGGCTAAAAGTTAGAGAGGACGGTGTACTAAGGCTAAATTAAAAAAGTACACTGAGCAAACAGGTGTAATAACAAGCTATTATCAGGAACTTCTGGCTCCATCAATCCATATCTGGGTCATGGGGGAGGCCAGAGGTGCCACCCAGATTCTCCTGCAGGCAGTGAGTCCACAGGAGAATGGCTGCTCTATGACATAGCCTTGATCTTTCAGTGTGGGCTTCAGGCAAAGTGGGGTTAATTGTCTTGCCCAAGGACACAACAGCAGCCTTCAGTGGGAGTCGGTGGAGAAGGTCTCATGGTGGGCTCAAACCCACAATCATCAGGCTCAAAAGCCAATGCTCCACCAACTGAGCTACTGTCGCCCTTCTGGGACAACCGTCTAAAATCAGTCCTCTAACAGCATGATGTCACTATGAAAGTAGTTTTGTTCAGCAATTTCTAAGGTGAAATTATGTTCATAATGTTTGCAGCCAGTAATTTTCAAATTTGGAAAATAATAAAATTAAAAAGTTACAGACAGAAAGTAATGTATACCCTTGATATTTGTTTTATCGTGTATTTTCTACTATAATATTTCACATTCTAAATCAGGAAATGACAAAATAAAAGTATTTTCTTTTTTTTATGACCAAAACTTGTGAGGGCACGCAAGTCCAAGTCTGACACTCCTCCACACCTCAAAGTTAGCTCTATTGTGTTTATGGTAGTTTTAAAATAGTCGTCAAGCTAACTCCTGGCTGCATTATAGACACATGTAGTTCTGAGGAGAGATCGATACCGCGCCTCTCTCTGTAATCACTCATCGATAGGACGCAGCGGCTGTTCCCGACTGTCCACATGTTTTACAGCCATCTCCCTGGACGAAACAGTGTAGCCCATGTGCAGAATATCCTCCATGAAAAAACTAAATGATTATTATTGTTCGCCAAATGCTTAACACCAGAACTCCCAGAGCAGTCAATTTGACAGCTTTAAGTTTTGCAAGTGAAATTGTATGTACCTTTTTTGGTCATCCGAATGTTGTGACTTTTTCTGTCCTTTTTACCTTTTAATCTAACTTAAATTAAAATGAAGCCATTATCTATTTTCCATAGCAAGGTATAATTGTAGTTTTTTTGTTTGTTGAAATAACACCCAAAAAAAACAGTACACACAATGCACCACCCAAATGTCTTATCACACACACACCCGAACTGCAGTTTTCGATAGGTCTCAAGCTGAATCTGTCAGTGAAAACTTATGGAGTGCAGGCTTGAAGAAAATATGTAACTTTTTCAAAGAGATTTTTATTGTTATCGAAAAGGAAAATCCAGTCTCATTGTTACTTGTGTGTATTCAGACATTAGAATTGTATTAACATTTTTGTGTGCATGCCTTTATATCTAATTTGAATTCTGATTTAGTTGAGATTTTTGAGATTGATCAATGAGCAGCTTGTTTATTATACTGTAGGTTATGCAGAAGGTTTAGGGGTGTCCAAGTCTTTTAGTCAGAGGGCCACTTTAGGTCATCAGAAGTGTCCAGGGGCCCGACAACACGAATTGTAAAACTGTGTGGACTGAAAAGTGTCTGCTTCTGGCTTCCAAACCATACACAACATATATACTTTACATTTGACGGAACTGAACGACAAATATCCAAGATAATAATTCAGTTTATTTGCCATTTACAGTAAAACCACACAACTTTATTGGCTATGACGATATGACTACTTTATAGATAACGTTGTCTTGTTGGTTTGCATCTTAATACACACATGTACCGCATAAAACTAACCATAACTGAAGTTTTTGTGTGCAAAGAAACTCTGCACTAAAATGGCCCTCCCTCCTATTGCAGTTCAATTCCTTTTGATAACCGTATCACGCCTGCACACAATGGATTAGTGCCTGCCTGTTTAATCTCTGTGAGTCCAAAATTAAGTTAGAATTTTCTCTGCATAAAGCTCTTGCCCACGCCCTCCAACACGATCAAGCTAAAGAGGCTTCTGCCATGAAAATGTGGAGCTAATTATTGGCCTGGATCCCTATCTGTCACTTCACCCAAGCTCAGTTCAGACAATTGACCTGATTTCGGTCCCAAAAGAATTATATATTGCGATTGTTTTTTTTATGACAAAACTGCACCTGAATAGACTCCAATCACAGCACACTGGAAATGTCCATGACATTTTTTTTTCCTCAAAGTGATGGTCTGTTTCCTTTCAATTTGTGAAGTTGGGGACACGTTTTCCTTGATAGACAGCTGAGGTTTCTCACCCTTGGTCGAGCTATTCTTTCTCCCCCAGAAAACAACAGATAAACTCTGTTTATTTCAAAGGGAGAAATAGAATGATATATTTATTGTGAAAAAAATTATCATAATTAATTGACGAACTATAAGATGGTACTTTTTCCAAGTTCTTTAAACCTTGGCGCCTATAGTGATGCGCTCAATGTATTTTTACTGTGGTAGAGCATATCCTTGGGCAAAGGAGAGAATTTGGACACAGCTCAATCAGCTGTGGTTTACGTCTATGTGAAGAGAGAGCAACACCATGAGATGCACGAAATACAAGGGACCTGTTTTTATGTGATTAGGGCTGTTGTCAGAACAGAATTATGATTTTGACTCCATCCAGGTTTAGTAGCTATAGTTTATAGTTCATCTCATCTGCATATTCAAACACATTTTCAAAGAAACTTGAAACTTCCAAGAAAAACTTTATTACTTTGAGTGTAACTGGTTGGATTAAAGCAAAAAAACCTATTCAGGGGCTTGTCTTGCATTGGCAGATTTTTCGTAACTTTTAGTAACGGACACCTCATAAAAAACCGACTGCAATTTGTTAATTTCACAACGCTATTTTGGACAAAAAAAACAGAGATCATTATTTCTCTGCTTGAACATGATAGTTATTTTATTTGTGGCAGAAAAGTCACTGAGTCAGCAAATGTCAGCGTGGAGACAGTAATGTGTGTGTGTGTGTGTGTGTGTGGAGGGAGAGAGGTGAGCTGTGGCTTGGTTTCATCTGCCAGAAAGGTCAGTGCAGGAAAGACAAGTCCATGAGAGGAGCCGTACACGCTGACATTTAGCAGAGATAAAGTCATTAAGTTCATGAAAATCTGTGAACCATAAACCCAATTAAAGTATTAACTGCTGACAATCCCACAAGCCTGAACAAACAATATGTCAATTCTCAAAAATGACTGACTTTAAGTTCCAGTTTTGACTACATCTGCATTTAAACTATCAAAGTAAGGGTACCTAACTTACAAACCACAACAAATGTAACTATAATGAAATCAAACCAAATAGTTTCTCGCTCTCTCGACAGTTTGCTTCTGCCTTTGTTTAAACTTTAGATCAGCTTTTGCAGACAGAAAAATGATAAGAGAACCACCCTCATTCAGCTCTCAGCCCAAAGAGCCTAATAGTGACTCACAGGGGCCATTTCTTTTAGTATGCAAAAGAGAACAGCCTGATTCGTTCACATTTTACTTTGTCGACAAAAACTGTGTATAAAGAGTGGATCACACAAAAGTAAGATATGACCACAAAGTATATACAAATCCTTTTTAAAATTATTGACACGGACTGACACACATTATACAGAGGTACCTTGGTTTACTGTAGTTTAGGACATTGTCAAATGCAGATTTGAGCGAGAGCAATGATTCACAAAGCTTTATTAGAGGTTACAAATCATGCAGTGCATTTTTCATCACAGTGGCTTTTCCCTTTAAACATATTTTTCTTCTTAAAAATTTTCACCTTATGTTCTAAGTGCAATTTCAAAATACAAAGCCATTGGTCAGTTACAAAAAACGATATTTTTTGGCATTTCATGATGAGGCTGGTATGAAAAGACAGTAAAAAAAAAACACAAAAGTAGCAGGCTCGCTTTTCTTAAAAACAAGTACCGTAATTGCCGGACTATAATCCACTACTTTTTTCTTTGGACCCTGCGAACTTCATAGCAATGTAGCAAATGTTTTTGTTTTTAGTGTTGTAGAGTTGGGCCGTTGTCAAAGCAGTTTATGGACTTTTGACTCAACGTTTTTGTAGCTATTGGATGCTTTTGAGAGTTTATTGTCAAAACATATTGGTAAAATGGAGTCCAAACATAGAAGCTAACATTCACTCATGTTAGTAAGTTTGCATTGTCAGATTTAAAAGTGTTATTTACCTTAAGCTTTGTCCATCAGGAGGCAAAAGTGCGTTAAAATACCTCGTCATTAAATTGGCGTCCATTGGCTTTGTTTTGCTCTATTAGTTTTTTGTATAAGGGTTGCATTACTTATATAAAATTAACTTTATCTTAAAATGTAGCTGTTGCTTAACACTAAATACTACAATAACGCTAAAATCAACTAAACCAGTGTTGCTAGCGTCTTAATCTTCAATTGGAGGAAATGGGCTGCGATCATTAGCAGCATTTGAGGCAGTTTAGATTAGATTTCACAATTAAAACTGGCAACCTGACAGAACCAATGACCATGGTTTTCCTCAAGTCTGGGACAGAGGTCAGAGTTAGTTATGTAAATAAAAACCTGCATACTTTTCCCTTAGAAGCTCTTCATGACAGCAGAAGCAAAACAGAGAGGGGGGAAAGGGCAGTAACAAGTCTGCTACAGAAAGACCTTTGTTGGGTTGCATTCACAGTTTCTGAAATGATGCGATTTATCCAACCAGAAGAAAACAGTAACTGTAGAGTAAGGACACTTAAGGTTATTTCATATTCTAGACATTTGTTGTAACAGGCCCCAGGTTTCGTTCAGCCCAGGTCTCGTTCAGGTCTACACCAGCCCCAATGGTTCCTCTGTTACTTTCATCGTTTCACGTCTTCTTTCATTGCAGGGGTATCAAACAACTATACTTTTATGCTACAGTGTGCATATATGATTAAAGGTTTACTTTTAGTCATTTACTGGTAGATGGCTCTGAACAAAACAAGTAAGGCAAGTTTGGATTGGACAAAAAAATGGAGCAACGGATAGGCCTTTTATCAATTATTACTAATGAGTTTCAGAGCAAAGACTACATTATATAGTTGATTTCTTGAGAAAATTGGCTTTAAGATGAAGTATAACACAAAATGGTAGCCCAAATGTATCATAATTCTCAACTTCAATCATCAAAAATCTTTGGGAGCTGCTAAAAACATGTTGAACGCCCCTGCCTTATGTCATTGTAGCAATAACTCGGTATATAGATTACAGAGAGTAACATTCTGTATGTAGTTGGTTAGTGTGACCATATAACATTCATGATTACAAGTTATAGTATTAAGTAACTCAAGTAAAATGCCTTTAAAACATGTAAACAAATCCCAAGTGATTAATTATCATGAAATCATTCTGTGCACAATGGTAATTATTATTATTATACTATTCAGGCTGCTTTTGAAGGATCCAGACCTCATTTCTGCGGTTGGTCAGTTTGAAAGGACTGTCATAACCGGCCATATAAAAGGGCTGGTCCACAAACTCCACCCCGTCTCTCTTCAGGCTCTCCACCAACTTCAGGAGCTCATCCCGCTTCATCTGCTCATTGGAAAATCCTCCATAAGTCCTGAGGTGGAAACCAAAGTTAGTGTCACAAACTGCAATACAGTTTTAGAACTCCGGCTCGAAGGACCGATTTTGTAGTGGCAATTCCACAGGTGTCCACAAGAGGGTGGCACCTAGGAGCAAGACGACACACCCCGACTCTGGATAGGGTGTGTCAGGGCATTATTGTTGGCCATGCGTCTTTTGTTTTTTGTAAGTAATATTGTTTATGATCATTGTTTATCGTTTACCATTCTAATTTGATTTTGTATTGACTGAGACACAACCATGGCAACAACTACAAATAAATGTGGCGTATAATAACATCAACTGTTTCCTAGTGGTCTGTGGCTCCAGTTTGAACATTTATACACTACAGTTAGTAAACCACATTCCTGAACTGCAAGGATAAGGTCATCATGTAACGATAAAGTCCTGACCTGACGTAAGCGGTGAACTCCTTCCGGTGCTCGATGAACACGTCTGGGTCGGTGGGCTCGGGGGGCGCGGCCTGGTGCTCTGCAGGGATGAAGAACGACACCGTGAACTTGGACTCACAGGCCGGACCTGCTCCAGGCTCCACGAGACAGGACACCGGAGCGGTCATCTCCACCTTCGCCTCTGCCAAAAACAAACGCAGGTCATTGTCAGAATACAAGCAGCGAGTGGATGAGACAAGACATATGAACGAATATGACAAAGGGACACTTACATTCTACAAACTAATAATACATTAGGGACTAGTGGGTAAATTCAGGGAAATCATGTTCTGACTGTTAATTATTAATTCTTAAAGCTGGGGTTATCGAACTTTCAAACCACACACATACAAACAATCCAGTGAGAGAACTGCTGGTAACAATTTGGCTCTATCAATTTCACATTTTCAACAGAAAAGGGAAAAGACAGTACCAACTTCAGTCAGAAGATTAAAGATATAATGTTTTCTACTAAGATAAAATTACATTTTTAAACTAAACCTTACTTAATGTGCTTAAATTTTTTTTGTCCCAAACTGTTTATAGATAGAAGTAAAACTTGTCTACCAGAGAATAAATTTAGCCAGTCACACTGTAAACTATCACTGCACAAACTATACCAGGGGTTAAAGCAAAAAAAAAAGATTTGACTGAAAATTATTGCATGGAAATTTATCACATGTAAATCACAGTAATATGCAGGACCAAGTTATATTTTTAATTACAATATATTATTGTATAATAGAATACAGCTCAAATGAATTCTTCAAAGATATACAGTGTATTTTGATATGAAATATAAGTGGATCAAGCAACGAGTAAACTTTTTGACAGAATATTAGTGAGAGTAGCTTTACTTGAGGCGATATGGAGCGTCAACACTTTGGCTCTGTCCTCGTCAAAATATCGCAAAAGGACGATACAATTCTGTCCACATTTGTTTGTGGACACGTCAATATTTAAGAAAAAGGTTTCCCTATCAAGTTTGAGTGCACAGTGCACTTCGATCAACTGCAAATGATTTAAATAAATGTACCAGCGGTAGTGATATTCTGAACGTTATTTTCTGCGATAAAGCCACAGACACGGTCCGCCAGAGCAAGCCTAGTGTTAGTTGTTGCTGATGCACCAGGTAAAGATGAAGTGTGGGAAAGTGCACAAACAGCTGCCTTGTGCGCAGTTTTGAGCTGGTGGCGAATCAAAACTTTTTTCTCATTACTCCCATATATGCAATTTTTTATGGCAAAGTACGCACTAGCACCGGCCACTCTCATCTTTTCGCACCATGACTCATTGATTGGCTCTTTTACATCACGCTGAGTTTTGCAAGAAGATCGCAAACAAGACAATATCAAAAGCTCACCAAGACATGTTTGTCCCCATTCCCAGTCGCAGCAAAGTCTGTTTTGTACATTCCGTTAAGTAAATAGCATTGCGTTTGGTAAACGTTAATTACCTTTAGTCTATTACGCGCCCAGCTTACCAGTCCGCGGATCTGCTGCTGTTAGTGCTCCGTTCGAGATTCAATTTTCCTCCTCTTCTCCTTTTCAAAAGCTCCGTGCAGTTTCCAGAAACTTTCACCTCCGTGTTACCAATGCTAACTTCATCGCGTCTTCATTTGCGCGTGAGCTCAGCTACGTCCCATTGCCTTGATTCATTTGCGGAGCGCTCATGTGGCCACGGCACGTTCAAGGCCCACTCGTGATTATATTACTTATTATTTCTATATACATATAAAATACAATTATATTCAAATTATTATTATACATCGATATATATATATAACAGATTCACACGTATATGTATTACTATATATTATTTTTATAATCAATCATTTCATTGTGTGTATTATTATCATTATATATATATATATTTTTTTTTCTCCAGACCAATTTCATTTGACGGAAATCCGTCACCTAGACGGAACTCTTTAATCCCTGAACTATACACAAGCTCATAAATATGCTGTGTTAGTTCTGCTGAGTAAGACAAAGGCAGTGGCACTTTTACAAACTGCTGCGTAAGAGCAAAAGTGGCCTTCCGAAGTTGTCCATTGATATATACATTACAGGTCTATGAACAATTATGTATATGGAATGATTGTTAGTGCATGAGAGTGAGTGAGACTTCACACACTCTTCTGGTTGGTGCCACCGATGTATTTGAAAAGTGTCCGAAAGCCGGTGCTCATGGCAGAGTCCCAGTTCATCTCAGGTAAAGAGGTGCTGACCCACGTGGCTGCTTCATATGTGCGAGTCTCATAGTCCTGACCCTGCAACAAATAAACACAGATATATACTCTCATCATCATAATATCTTTTATCAGATGATCATAGATATTTTATTCCTCCCAGGAGGTTAGAGAACAGTAGGGATGTGGAGCAAAAGATAAGTGAATATAAAGTATAAAGCTATACTGGACAAATAAAATACAATCTCCATCTTTAGCTTAATAAAGGAATAGTATAAACAAGTCTAAACCTATCACCTCTAGTGCAAAGACATACACAAAGACATACATGTACACATGTACATGTATATGTACACATGTACATGTATATAAAGGAGATTGGGATTTACCAGCGTCACTACCAAAGAGTTCTCAGAGTCATCGAGACGGTCAATTAATTCAGCTGCCTCCATAAGGCCTTTTTATATTTACACCTTTGTGGACAAAAGTGTGCAGTCACTTTTGAACAGATTAATTTTCTCACTGTCCGAACACATGTGAAATTCTTCCGGACCAGATGATATAAATGATATGTCACTGCACTCATCAGACTCATCTCCGACAACAGTGAGTCTGTTTACAGGAGGGAGGTGTACCGCCTGGTGTCCTGGTGCAACTTGAAGCTGAACGCCCGGAAGACAGTGGAGATGATCATGGACTTCAGGACGACTACGTGCCTCCTACAACTTTTCTCATGCATGCCTTTATATTTATTTTTTATTTTTAACAAGTTTGCACCATATACCAAAGCAAATTCCTAGTTTGTGATCTCCTGTTACATACAATGGCAACGAAAAGAATTCTGATTGTGATTCTAACTGTAGAGATTTCATAACACTTTTAAGAAACTTTTGTTAAAGTTCTAACTTAATTCTTACATATGCAGAAGCCTGTACTTTTCCATTTGATGTTTTGTCTATCTGAAGGCCAAGCTACAGGCACACTGTGGCAGCTGCTGATTGGAGGACTTCATTCTCCCATGCTATATTATCACTAACAGTTTGTTACAACCTTTGTTCGTGCTCCCTCTACCAGACAATAAAACATGTCTTCTGTCTGAATTAAAGACGCGATCCCAGACTTTGTCATCTTCAGGTGGTGGAGAATGCGGGCATTGTCTGTAACATCTACAGAACAGAAGACAATTTTTTTTTTTACACAAAAATGTGTTTTTTTTTTTAAAGACAAAACTGAGAAACCTCAAGAGAAACCATGCGTCTGGATCAGCACATGGACAATCTGCACAGCGCCTGATTCCACTCAGGCTGTGAGCTGCTGAGACATGGACAACACCATCGTCCTCTTTTGCATGGACATCATTTGGAACAATTGGATATCTGAATTTGGCATATATTTTGGACTGAATTGAATTGCTGAATCTGGACACTGAAGCTGAAACATGTAATTTGAAAGACACGTCACAGAATAATTCATGGCTCAACACAAATGCAGCCTGAAGAAATCAACACAGAGAAGTGGGAGAGACTGTTTTCAAAGCAATATCTGGAACCATCGACTGATGAAGTTTGGTATTTTACTGAAGATTGTTGACGAGTTTTATGAGTCTTTTGAAGTATTCCGAGTACCGAGTGAAGTACCGAGTTTATGAGTTTTTGAAGTATTGAGATATGATGTTATGTTGCTGTTTATCGATCCTGATGGTCACACGTGAATGTGTGACCAGAGGGGGAATGTGAGATTTCATAACACTTTGAAGCAACTATTGTTAAAGTTCAAACTCATCCGGCACGGTGGCTGAGTGGATAGCACTCTCGCCTCTCAGCAAGAAGGTCCTGGGTTCGAAACCCGGTTGGACCAGGGCCTTTCTGAGTGCAGTTTGCATGTTCTCCCCGTGTCTGCGTAGGTTTCCTCGGGGTGCTCCGGTTTCCCCTACCACTAAAAATATGTACAATAGGTCTGGCATGCGCCTCCTGTACTGGCACCCCCGCTCCCAAAAATAACAATTGTAAACCGCTTTGAGACTCCGATGTGCAGTGAAAAGGTGGTATATAAATAAAGATTACTTACTACTACTTATCACATTTGCATGGGCCAATACTTTTCCCTTGTTTTGACTTCTGAAGGCCAAGCTATATGGCACTGTGGAAGCTGCTGATTGGAGGACTGCATTCCTCCATGCTGTATAATACACTTGCTGTCGTAACATTCCTTGTTCTGTGCTTTGTTCGTGCTGTCTCTACAATTGACAATAAAACATGTCTTCTGTCTGAATGAAAGACGCGATCCCAGACTTGGCTCATCTTCATTATAACATTATCATAATCATCACACAGGCGGTCTGTGATGAAGTGACCCAAGTATTTTGTCTTGCACACTGTTAAACTTAGACCAGAGTCAGACAAGTACAATTTTACAAAACAGAGGTCCTTTTTCTCCATTATTTCAGCACTACTGGGAAAAACAGTGGCAAAAATCCTAAACCTATATAAAATTATTTAACAAATTATCACAAAACACAGACATTTGTAAACTCAGCATGTAGTAAATTAGTTTCAAAACAATTCTGTTGATCTTTTTCACTATGAGAAGCACCACTCGTATGTTAATGTTTATATCAGGCTATTAAGTGATTTCTTCAATACAGAAGCATGTCAGTACAAAATAAATGAAATTGGACATTTGAATCGGACATGCAGTGGTCACCTGTTTCTCAGCGAGTGTGAACTTAGGATTCTGCAGTCCAGTCGAGAAGAGAGTTTGTCCTATTGCCTTCAACATGATCGCAGGGAGATGTCACCTGGAATATAATTATTACAGCGACAAATAGTAAAGTATCACACGCCCATCATCGGCCAGTCACACGACACAAGCGATCGGACGTCAACATTACTATCAAACTCACAAGAACTGTAAAGTAGCGTATTGGTATGCAAATGTTATACGATCAAAAGTACCTGCAAAAAGTGGTTCGTCTTCAGTGCAAAGCAAATGGGTGTAAACAATATGGATCTTTTATTAAAAAAAAACGTGTTTTCGTAACAGCTCTTCCTGTTTTTGCAAAGTCGAGCTGTGATTGGCTGCGTCAGACTTTCATAATAAAACTACGTAAAAAGTTGTGTAAAAAGATGACAGGTCAAGATAAAAAACAAGAGGCTATCAATTTACAACTTTCCCTTCTGTTTTTTCTTTATTCCTTACGGCCATATTTACACCAGAAACCTGGATCTAAGTTATAAACAAAGTCATATAGATGGATAACGTTTGAAAGAGTCCAACAAGAATGAGACACACACTTCGCAGATTAGATGTAAACAGATTAAAAAAAAACGGCATACATGGAAAGGACATCATCTCAGTGCATTCAGAAAATAATATATGTCTATGGAGATGGAAAGGCAAGATTCCTATTGTTTATTAAGCTTTACCTTGGCATGTGTAGGGAGAAATTACAAGCCCTGTTTCCACCAGCCCTCCTTAACTTTACTCTACTCCAATTGGTAGAGTTCCCACCTACCCTGCAGTAACCAGTACTTTTATAGTACTTGTTTGGCCATGATACTTTAGGGTTCTTGATGGAGATGGGCTAGAGTGCTGCTGGAAGCCATGGTACTGGTTTGTTGGGGGTAGGTTTCTAAGATCAATACCATGGAAACCCAACCAGGTAGAATAGAGTAGAGTAGGGCCAAGTGGGGATGGTGGGAACAGGGCTTATGTTCCAGGAGTTGTGAAAAGAGTAAATAACATAAAAGTCAAAAAACAGCCCAAAGTAGCATTAAGCACTACAAGACAAGCCTTTACACCGTGTTACATATAAAATGGGGACAGCTGCCATTTTTTTTCATTGGCTGTATTAAAAACTTACACTGCTGATCAAAAGTTTGGAGTCACAAATGTTGTTTTTCAATGAGAACAATCCTCATTGAGTGGCTTATGAAAACAGGTGCTTTTTTGATGGGATGCCAGTGTTTTAACGCTACTGATAATCATGTCATAAGGCTAATTCATGACTGGAAAACCCGTGTGCATTTATATTAGCACTTACAATTGTTGGAGTGACCCCGCACTTTTCAACAGTAGCGTACGTTTATGATCGTGAGGTATTATATCAGATCTTCTTTTACATCTGGTGGTTTGAGTGAATAAAAGACAGCACGTCGTCTTTTGACAGTTTTTCAGGATCCATTCGCGTCTGTGAATCGTGGACTATGACGCCGTCCTCCCAGGCCCAGAATAGTCGCTCTGAGTGACACACACTGGATACAAAAAGGGAGAAAGAAAGAGAGACAGTTAATATTATTAATCTGGGACAGGGACAAATGGAATGAGTTATATGCCACATACTGGAAGGGAGCAGCAGAGTTTGGTGGAAGGTCATAGGTGGATTCCTTTGTTATTTTGTTATAGAAGTATTTCTTCCTGGAGTTTTTACTGTACACCATTGTCCAAGGCTCTAATCCAAGTAAAAGAAAGACGATGACAAAACAAATGTATATTTATAAATAGAAAAGGGACATATTTTGGCCATCTAGCCAGAGATTTGACCCAATTTGAAACATATAAAAAATATATACGAAACTAACCATTGACTGTTTTAACCATGTAAAGGCCTGAGGGGAGAAAGTGGCGGTCGTCTCGGCCAGTGTAGGACAGACGGGGCATTCCTCCTGAACTCTTTGTCACTTTCATCTCCAGTCTGTAATATTCATCAAGGTACAGTTCAGAACATAAAACAGATAATTATTTTGCCATTTTATCACAAACCTGACAAAGATCTTCTCCATTTCTTCAAGTCTGTACACTTCTTTCACCCTGCACAACACACAGCATCACTGTTAATTGTAAAAGTATATTTGTAATAGTTTCATATTTTTTCGTATTTGACCTTTAGTGACGCAGCGGCTGTAAAAGTGGTCAGCATGGTACTTTGAATTTATATCACGGTTGTGTTTACAAAGCTCCAGGATCAAATGTATTGTATATTTTTTATTGCAAGAGTCTCCCAGCAGAGAAAACGTTCCAAACAATTGATTCTACACCACCATTGCTGACCACATACAGCCGCTGGGTCTCTTTAAAGTAGAGGCTTTTTAGTAAGAAATATATATGTTGTACCTGATGGGGTTCATATCAGGTCTGCTTGGTTTAGCCACGGCTTTCACAAATTTCTCTGCCATTTGAATTCTATTATCAAAAAAAGTGTTGACAGCTCAAAAACGTATAAATCCAGTTTGCAAATGTGACTTTTGGCGTTCTGTAAAGCAGTGTTTTACCTTTGGTTGAAGTGCTGGTCTCTTACATCAGTGCCATTCAACACCAGTGCATCCATTACATGAACTGCATTGATTCTTCGCTGTGCTTTGCCCTGTGAGGTGAAAACAAGCAAATATAAGGGAATCTAAAGATGGGTTTTTAAATATCAAATGCACTTCTATTGTCGGTCTTTGTCACCTCTCCCTTCAGCTCCTGGACAATCTCCACACTCAGAAGCGTATCTCTGGGCAGCTCCAGTTTGAAATTCTCCAGTTTCCTCCACCGCAAAGGCAACTTCCCATCCCATGTGTATATCTGCGATTTCTACCCATAAAAAAAAACAGGGTTATATCATTTTGACGTTGACGTTGAGGGAGAATTACATGTTTTAGGCCTTACCCCCAAAGCTAAAAGGAAGATTTGTTCACCGCCTCCCACAATGCACCTGTGATCGAGGACATGTCGCAGCTTTTCGAGTGTGCTTGTGTTAAGAGAAGTGGGTTTACTCTGAAATGCCTCCAGGTCTGCACCCTGAGAAAACACAAATAAGAGGATTGAATCAGTACTTAGTAGAAGTAATAGAAGTAGCAGTAGTAGTAATAGTTTTAGGAGTGTGGGATTGAAAATGACAGACCTTCAAAAGTTCCTGAAATTTGGATCTTGGGTCTGAGGAGACTGGTGTTACTCTGGCCTTGTCTGGGACTCCCCAAAGTTTGAGACATTCCTTTCGTATGTCAGCTTGTCTTGTTTCTGAGAGAGCCCTGCAGATGTGAGGAAGAATCTTATTAACCATTTGCACCAGGATCTGAGTAATTGCTGAACCACCACCGATGTACTTACGGATCTACAACGAAAGCGTGTATTTTTGCAAGAGCCTTGATCTGGACAACACAGAGACTACAAAATATATATGTATATATGTTGACATGATGAATATGAGTGGTATAATTTTAAAAAATATATATATAATTTGAACTTAATATGGTACCTCTCGTTAGAGTTGACCATAAACTGGTAGAACTCGGCGTCCTCTTTGATTATGTGCAGGGGAACTACTTCTAAAACGTCTCTGTCTGTGTTTTTCAGTTGGTTAAGTTTAAGATTAACCTTGAACATGTATTCTCGAACTGCATCTGATCCTGGCTTTAGGTCACGGCAAACTATATATCTGTGAAAGAAAACGAAGACAATGACATGGTCCCGGCAAACAGCAAAACAGTTGACCAGAATGGACTATAATAATCAATATACCTCTCAGAATTAGCAGGTCGGCTTGTGATGGGTTTAAAAAGTGTAACTCTTTCAAAACAGAGGTACATAAGGTAAACTAGCCCCACACTGAAAGGCGTAAAAAGGTCAAACGTCTTACAGACAAAGTGCCCACCTGAAAGACACAAATATAGCATCCACATATAACTGATACATAGAAAACAACTCATAGAATATGTAGATACATGCTCTTATAGGGACACAATCACATACCAGTTCTAAGAGTTGAAACGGCAGTGAGCAACTGACAAAGCAACAACTGTTTGGTTAAAATCTCTTGTAGGTTTTCTTGACCCTCCACAGAGAATCCCTAAACATAACAACAAACATATCTATTTTTAATTAAAATCAGATTTGCAATATCATATTTTATAAAAAGCCAAGCCATACTCCATCTGCCATGAGAAAATGCAGCCCTTTCCCCTCAGTACTTTCCAGCACAAAGTTTCTGAAAGCAGTGATATTTTCTGGCCGCGTTATATCTCCATCCCCATCGATGCCTCCTTCACCTGTGTCAGGAAACTCGTGATTGTTGAAAATGCCCATATCTCAGTCCATGACTCTGTAAACATACCGTAGTAGGGCTCAAAAAGTTCACTCGGCGCAGCAAAGAAATCCTCAAGTTTAAAGTCACAGGGTCCTTTCAGAGTCATGCCAAAGCCTTTTGCATGCCAGCCTTTCTTCCACAAAATGTATTCTGAAAAACCTCCCGGCCCCGCGCACACATCTCCAAAGTACAAGAGTTCTCCTTCTCTGTCCTTTATGTGGGGTTTCTAAAACAAAGAAAGGAAACAATATAAGTCCCAATGTACATTGAGCCGCACAGAGCATGTACTTACTCCTTGTGCATCTTTAGGGTTGGTGAACATGTTGTCAAAGCAATGGTCAATATTTGCCATTTTCATAGCAGCCCTGAAAGCAAAATATAGAATGTGAGGTGAGTATGTCACTTTTTTTATCTCTAGGGGTCCATCAAAACAAACCTGTTGAGGAAGATCCCGCCTCTAATGGTCTCATAAGGGTTGGAGCGAGTTCGAGCTCTTCTCATCTCTTCACCGTCTAGATCATCGAATATCGTCTGAACAATGAGCATTTACAACAAATTAATCAATCTTTTAATTACTGCAAGTATTGAGTTCATTTAAAAACATTGATAGAAATTACTAGGAAACCCTTAAATACTTGCCTTGCATCTTAGAAGAGTATGTAGAAGGTCTTCAGTGCAAAACTCTGTTTCATCTTCAATTTTCAATTTTATCTGAATTTTTTAGTAAAAGCAAATTAAGTAACTATAAATAATTTAAGACCCATAACTGTTAACTAACCGGGCCAGTAAGCATCCAGTCCAGGAGTTCATGTGAATCCGGCATTTCTGTAGTGCATTCTGGGAACCAATCAACTTTTTCTAGTGCACTTGGCTGATCAGGAAAAAAACAATGATAGTTATAATTTTATTAAAAAACGCACATTCTGATATGACAAAGGTCTAACCTCAGGTTCATCACGCCAGTCCACATTAAGCTCGCCCTGAAAGCCCTGAAGTGTCAGGCCGAGACCTCTCCTCCCTCTCTGTGTTGATGCCTCTACAATTTCTTTGCGTCCTTGGCCAAACTTTCCCAAGCCCTCACCTTCACGGAAGCCCATTTTGGCCTGATAACAGAATAAACGTTAGTGATAACAATATTTTGTATTATCGTTGACAGTCCGTGATTTACCATAAGCTTCTGGGAAACACTGTTGTACATGGAGAACCTGGATGAGGGCTCTGATGCAGGGTCTTCATCTGTGGCGTTAAAAGATATAGACGGCATCGAGAAACTGGGTCTGTGGTCCTCTTGGTCACTGAGAGACTCATTCTGACTGGAGTCTAAAATAACAATAAAATAAGGTATAAAACAAACATGATAAAGTTGGTACATAAAAAAGATTTGCACAAATAAATAATGTTTTACCTTGTGCAGACAGATCTACATCTGAGCTGCTATCGTCACATCTTTTCTTTTCCACTGGTTGCAACTGCCCATCATTTCTTCTTTTTCTGTTCATTTTAACTACAACAGATTATGATGCAATTATAGAAGAACCACTGATATTTCGGATGAAAACGCAAAATGCAATAAACTTGGGTTTGTGTATATTTGCAGCATTGTTAACTACGTTGTTTGTCTCGCACTAAAGTAAATAATGATAATAATACTTTTGGCTCATGTTTAAAAGTGGAGTCCATGTCTACTAACAGTATTCATGCATGATTGTGCTGTTTTCATGCCAATATTGCATTAATCCATACCAGTCTAAACAAGGGTTGAATTAAATACTTGTAAATACCGGATGATCGATATGTGATATATTTTATAATAAATAAAAGAAGATATGCAAAAACCTTTAGCTAGCTGTTAGCTCGCTGCGTTAGCATGACTTTTACCAGCTTAGAGGAACTTCACTCTTCTGTTGATAAGACTATAAACATATAATATAAATATGCGGTTCAATTTATCATATTTAATAGTTTCATTGCATTGTTCAGAGGCTGTAAAAGCGTTGTTTTGAAATGTTCGCGTTAGCTCCGCGCTCAGTTGATGAACTACACCATGGAACTACACAGGTCCTTTTCTCTCGACTGCCGCACGTTGATGACGTAAGCATAACAATGATGGAGAACGTCTGGGTGGAGCATGGGCATGAGCATGGGCTGGCTGTTTTTTAAATTCATTATTGATCTATGTATTTACCATATGGTAAATATATAGGTTTACCATAAACCTATCAATATACAATACATCTATATAGTTTATAAAGATAAGATAAGATATACTTTATTGATCTCACAAAGGAGAAATTTACATGTCACATCTGGCATGGATAGAAACACTCAAGATTGTGCAAAAAGAAAGAAATGTGCAAACATTTTAAATACAGGATATATATAAACTTTCCATTAGAATAGAATGGAAAGTATATTACACTCTAGACTCCCACTGATGACTGCTGTCGTTGTGTCCTTGGGCAAGACACTTAACCCCACTTTGCCTGAAGCCCCTGCTGAATAATAAAAGTTCCTGTGGACTCACCACCTGCAGGAAGATCAGTGAGGGGCTGATGCTCTGTGTGCCCCCCCCCCCCCCCCCCCTCCCCCTCCCCCAACCCAGAAATGGATTAAAAGGAAGAAAATGGATAGATGGATGGATGGAAAGTATATTCATTAATGTCATCCACAACAACAAATATTGATTACAGCTTGAACATGCCAGATCTAATCTGTGAAATGGTAGAGTCAATTATTTCATTTATCAATTCATTAAGATAAGATTAGATAAACTTTATTTATCTCATAATGGAGAAATTTACATGTAACATTTGGCATAGATAGTGTCACTCAGGTTGTGCAAAAAGATAGGAAGTGTGCAAACATGTTAAAGGTTAAAAAAAGGTCTCTTTTGTGCAGGATATATTATGCACAATAAAAAGTGGCTAAAAGCAGTGCGGGTTTTTTTCAGTCCTAATGCAGGTCATTAGTGACTTAAAGTGACTTAATGTACAGTCCGACAGCTGTGGGGATGAAGGCCCTGCGAAAGTGCTCATTCTTGCACTGAGGTTGCCTCAGTCTTCCACTGAAGGAGTAACAGTTGTGTATTTAATCATACACTACTGTTTTTGACTTGGTTATCCCACAGTCGATGGGTTATGAGCTCTAGTCCTCTTCCAAAGGCAAGGGAGCATGCATACATATATTGATTAGTATACTAAATGCGAGTATTATAACACAAAATCCTTCTTCATTTGTGCAATTTGTGGTTCATACCCTTTATTCCTATACTCTCCTTACAACACTGACATTTCTCTGCTGTGGAACAAATGAAGGTTATCTTATCTTAAAGATAAAATGTTTTTTATCCCACATCATCAGTTCATGAAACTTTATTTGATGGCCATCAATCTCTTTAATGATTTGATCATTCACAGTTATGTAGGCCTGATATAGGGATGGGACATCAGGTAAGTAAATAAACCCATTGGAACATCACTGTCCAAGCTAATCCCCAAGTGACACAAATGCTCATATAAACAAGGACTCCTTCCCACGTGATCAGCAGCTTATCCAACGTCACCGAGTCTTTAAAAGGCGCCACAGGACTATTCCTCCAGGACATCACGACAGGACAGGTGTGTGCTGTCTGAGCCAGGGGGCTGCGTGTCTCCGGACACCTGGGAGAGCTGCTTTTGAAACTCCCACAAGCAGAAGGACAAAATCAAGGGAGAAGCCAATCAGAGGTGCCTGAGAGTTTTTTTTTGCCTGTGCACCTGTTTTTTAAATTTATATAAGGCACTTGGGAGAAACAATCACCATGTTTTTCCGCATCCTTCCTCGGTTGACCCCTGGATATATCAGATATCTCCAGGTGCGTAAGATGCTTTGAGCAGATTTTGTTGATTAAAAGGTCAAGGGATTGGAACAATGCCACTGTCTGCAGATGTCAAGGCTTGGAACCTTGACATAATTGTTCATCTCATAGTGTGAATAGTTTCAGCATTTTCATGCTTTAGTTAGTGAAGTTATGTTGCTTTCAAATGATTAACACTTATATAAAGAGTATGTTTGTATCTGTGCATGTCTATGAGTATTTAACAGAGAGGATTACAGTAGCCTATGTTTGAATGGATTTGAATAAGTTGCCCTGGCTCCCTGTGGTCTGCTAAATGCTTCCTAATAGGATCTCAGGAGGTGTATGCATGAAACCAAAGCACACACATCCACTGGGCCTTTTTGAGCTGCAGCTGCATATAGAAACTTTGACCTGCCCCAACCTATTATATCTACCATGGCATGCAAACCATCTTAAAGTGTTTCCTCTATGCAAAATGTATGCCCTGTAATGATGCCACAGAAACACAACTGTATTTGAGCAAGCCTACAGTAGGTTCACTTGTGAGAATTATTGTGTTTAGTATAACCAATGTTGTCCTCTTTCAGACGCAGGCAGCTCAGACCGTGCTCCAGCCCCGGTTCAGCCCTCTGATGCCCCGCACTGCCCTCCTCATGGGACTCATGGGCATCGGCATGTCTGGATACAGCACCCGCCAGCTCACTCTCCACTACAAACCTGCCAGTCATCTCTTTAGATAAGATGCGTTGAAAGGCATGTAAAGTAGATCTTCATCGTTTCTTTTTTTTGATTCTACTTATATATCCGAGGTCTGTTCTGGCATGGTCTTTAGGGCTGATTTGCTTTTTGAATTACTGCCTTAAGGCTAAAGTTTGTGTGCAGTGGATGTGGCCCACTTTTAAAAAAAACTACCTCATGTCTGACCTTTGTATGTGATAGTGCGGTGGAACGAAAAAGCAGCTTTTGATGACTTTTATTGAAGAATTTGGATGATCACAGGGTTGGACCACTGTCGTATGGTCTTATTATGAGAATCTTCACAATAGTTATATCATATTTGCATAATCTAAGAATCTTGATCAAGAGAGAGACAATATTATTTGAAGCAACTTTATCTTAAGAGAATCAAATACTGTTTTATTTGATTTTGTAAGGCACTGTTGATTTCCAATTATTGTCCTTCTTCTAAACAGCCCACTTGAATCACAAAACTACCCAAAATAAAGTGATTCTGTAGGCTCTAAACATATATTATCATCAACATTTCAGCTCTATGCCATAACTTTAATATCTCAAACGTGCACACAAATTAGTAAAAAATACCTTGTGTCAAAAATTATGTTTATTATTATTTTTATTTGCACAATTATGTCCCACTTTCTGCACTTTCTGATGTGTAAAATGCTGCATACAAGCGCTGTGCATATCACTTGATGCTGAATGAGATTAGTAGAACAGACACAGCGCTTTACCAGCTTTTGTTGAGTGCTGGACTGGGTGACTTCCGGCTGAATATACTCTATGGAAGAGCAAGTATCCAGGACAGCCTCCCTGGATGCTGCTCTGTGAGTGAATGCACCTGGGAGTCCCCCTTTGCCGCGCCATTGTCAAGAGATGTGAAATGTGTGTAGGTGACTGGCTGTTACGGCCTCTTAATAGAGATAGATCTTCTTTTCTAAATGTTTTATTATTTGGTGTTGGCAATGACATCCTAAGAATCATCACCGACAATGAATGTTATTAGATGAGGTGAAAAGAGCCTTTTTGAAGAATTTTAGACAGAAATATTGGTGTTAAAATATAGCTGTTAAACAAAAACATTTTAGTCTCTTGTGATGCAAAAAATGGAAAGAGAATAAAAGATTCTAAGGTGGACGCATCAAAGCGTTGATCCTATCAGGGGTCAATGTCATTTTTAGACCAGCTCACACCTGCATATGAGAGAGGTCCGTGACTTTGAAATACACAACTGTGACAAAGCAATGTATTTATAGTTCATCCTTTGATATGACATGGCGATATAATTCATTGTAAGTGATCAATGTGTAACAGTTTTAAAATATAAGAACAACTCAATTTCACTAGAATCTGTATGTTTTCTCTGAGGAAATAGTCACTTTGATCGATCAGATTACTGAGCTATGTGATGTTTTATTAGTAGGGGTTGTATTTGGAACATTTTATATGTTAGCACCTTCACATTTGGTTTGTATAATGTTTGATTGTAGGAATAAAGCACCTTTGGATTGTTGTTGCAATACATGAATAAAAAAATGTGCCTGGATTAACTACATTTTATGCTTTTCATATCATCTTAATTCATTCTTTTTACACTAGGTGTCAGCAAAGACTTGCTTTTTGACAAGCCTTCTGCAACATATTTTAAGAAACTTTTTTTCTCCCCCTTTTTAATAGCAGATGTCCACCCTCATCCGTTCATAATGTGGTTGATTGGCCACATTATGACAAACCAGGGCTAGATCCCAAAGTGCTGCACTGCAGCATCTACTCCTCCTGACGTGCTTCCCCAGACACTTGCCATTGGAAGGATGGGTCAAATACAGAGTACAATTACCCCAATAGGGATCAGAAGTGTACCTCAACCTCATCCCTAAGTACGTCTGCAATTCTGACCCATTTTAATGTGTAAGCAGCTTTTGATCCAAATCTTCTTTGGTCAATTCCTGTCTGGGTTACCTCAATGGTACAACACCAAAGATCTCTTTAAACAACAATTTATTAGAAAGATAAATAAATCCATTGGTCCTTCTCACCTGCTCAGGCCTCAGTAACAGAAGGTCACAACTTCATGCACTCTCTAACCCGCTCCAAGTTTACACACAGCAGCCATTGTGTCTCTGTTTCAGCAGTGACTTACCCCAGCAGCTTGTGTTTCGCTACATAACAAAGAGCTGAATGTTTTTGCTGGAGGAGAGAGGGATGAGAGGGAAAGACGTGTCCGGAGGCTCTGTCCTGCTGCTTACATTCATACTACAAGTAATCACTACCACACTCTCAGATGACACTACCACCTCAGGTTAGTTAGAGATAGATGGAGATGCTGTCTAATGTCTTTCTAACTATGAAAAGGAAGTTGCGAGGAGTAACTTTGTAATACAGAAACTGAACTTGTTATTTATGACTTGAATGCAGCAATTGTACTTTTACTCAAATCCATTTCCTTTCATTGCAGATCATGAGCTTTATTATCCCAGGATTACTGAGTGAAATTCCTTATCGTTGTTGTATTCTTGGGCAAAACTATTCAGCTGCTTTTAAAAGTACATACAATACCACACGGTGTACAGTTTACACTACAGTCTATAGTGTCATGGAGATGCTATACTGACATAAAACGCTACAGGCTACTTCAAATCTGTGAATAGGTTACCAAGATAACCTTAACCTATGAAATCTGTTATTAAGGCATTGTTGAGTTATGGAAAACCAACATTTAAAAAAGTTAATTTGCTTTAGTAGTCTCCACAATATAGTTGATTGATCAATGTGTGTTTTTTATGACTGAAATATATGTATTATGTTTTTATCATACAGGGGAGGGGAAGGTGGGGGGGACAGTAAAAAATAAAATAAAAATAATGAAAAATTACAATAAATACATGAAGTAAAGCAAAACATGAAGGGGGCGATGTGAATATAATTATATATACACACATCACACCCGTATAGGAGATTGGAGAGATAAAAGTGAGTTTCAAGATGTTCAATGGATTCTTGCATCATCTGACCCGAATAATCAGAAACATGATGCAGCACTCCTCTCTATTTAGCTCCTGGATTTAGCTGTGCTTTGTCACTGCACATTCCGGCTCTTAAGTGTCTCTTGTTAACCGTTGGAAGAGCTTATCCTGGTGTGAGGAGTGCTCTCAACCTTCAGCTCATTAAAACTCCTCCAAGAACCAGATTATTAGTGGCTTTTTATGGCTTCCGTGTGAGAGGGTGTTGTCATGCAGGCATCTGAACTCTTACGGCTAGATCATATAGAACTAACAGTTTCACAAAGAGGAACCATAGACATTAGGTGTATTTTGCCTTTAATAGGTTGCGTTCATGTTCTAGAATTGAATTTCTGCTTGTGGGTAGTTCGCAAGAAATACATGTATTTTTGAAATTTGAAAATGTGCCCAATATTTTTCCCCTGATTATTATTGATAGTAATTTGATTTGCAAACCTGCCATATTATTATTCACTCAATCAACATAGATCAGTATTTATTTGTGAAGTAAATTTAAAAGTGGCCTATAATCTTACCAAAGTGATGTACAGACAACTGAAAAACAGCATCAATAAAAACACATGCAAAAAAAAATCCCATTCATTCTTCTTCATGCTTTTTGTCATCCCATTTTTAACACAGCAAAATTCAAAGATCTTCAAATGACAATAGAATAACCCATATTTATTCCCCCTTTTTTTAAAAACAGATTTACCAATTCCAGCAAAGACTGATTTATAGGTAAATCTAAAGGAAAACAAGGCTGTAATTGTTGGTGGTTTCCAGCAGGCTTTCATTATCACTTGAAATTGCAGCGCTGCAGTTTGAAAAGGTTTTAACCCAATCTATAATAATCTTTATGGCAGTATTGTATTGTAAACAGAATGGATGTAAAACTATAGAGTTAATACAAAATCTCCCCTTACATTGCGGTTATTAAAGACTAATTTGGACCCTGGGACATCTTAAACTTGGCTATATGTACCATGCAATAATTAAAGCTGTAATCTGTTCTTGGAGGAGGCTCTTTCAATGTGGTCTCTTGTCAGAACAACTCGATGACCTGCCAATCTCCTCACAAACTTGTTGAGTCATTGTTAATCTGTGCTGGCCTCATCCACTGCTGCGCTGAACATGATACAGCAAAAAGAACGGTCTGTTGATGTTCTGGCACATTCCAGTCTTTTCTTACCACTATCTGTGTCTTTAAGGAGGCTTTGTCCTTAGACCTGACCCAAAAAAAACCATCAATAAGTGCAAAAGGAATTGTCTTATATGTTTTAAAGTTGTGTGTTTAAAGCCATGTGCGAGACAGAGACAGAGACAGGATAATCCCAGCCGGGTCAGTGGCCTCCTTGTACTTGACCCTGTCTTGAAATGGCGGTGCTGAAATGTGTTATATGCTACTTCTTGTGTTCTGATTTGCTCACAACATTTTACTTTTACAACACTCTTTCTGTTGTATTATTTATGTTAAAAAGTTCCCCTAAAGTTTGTACCCCAACTCTAAAGCTCTCATTTCCCCAGACAGAGCTGAAATATTTCCCTCTCGCCCATTACCTTGACTAAATGGGACAAATTGTGACTTTCGAAAACGACTTAAAGTTACACATACTGTAGGTCTTATTCAGCAGCCATGCAAACCGTACATAACCATTTAGGAGATAAAGTAAGAATGTGTATCCAGATTTGGACAGATGACCCACACAGACCTGAGGGCCCAGGGGTCGACAAAAAGCCCATTGAAGTGTGACAGACACACGCTAACATCAGATTATAACATGCAGCACCTCCAGACCTCCATGATCCACACTGAGGTCCCATCATGGCCTCATGTGGAACTGTTCTACATGGAGGTGCTGTTGCTTTTATACTAGTTTAACATGGGACTTTTGGTGGAGGTCACTACTGCAGTAGCAGTACTACTACTACTACTACTACATACTATAGTACGTAAGTATATTTATATACGCCTATCACTGCAGACTGAGCTCAGCGGTTACAAGTTATTTGGGCATGTCTCTCACTCCACATGGGAGCGGGGGTACAGGCGCTGCGAACTATTCTTTTAGGTGGGGACCGGAGACCCGGAGGAACCACGCAGACAGCACTCCCTCAGAAGCCCGGTCGACGGATCGACCCGACCTCCTGGAGGCGAGGTCATCGCCACCGTGCGCCGTTTACTGTACTGCTTCTCTCACACGTGCAACTCTTGCGAATCCGGGTTCGATCCGTGGTTGTGTTCTCCCGGTGCTCCGGTTTCCCCTATGCGCCTCCTGTACGGGCGACCTCACTTCCTTCTCTTTGTGGAGTGAGAAATAAATGCCCACAACAATTGTATAGCTATAGCACTTTGTGACTCTGGTCTGTGAAAGGCACGTTATAAATAAAGATTACTTACTTACTTACTACTGCTGCTAACTACTACTATACTATTACTACTGCTACTATTATTACTCCACATAGAACTAGGGTTACCACATGTCTCCTGTATGGTAGCTGGTATTACCGGGATTACTAGGAGGAAACCTACACAGACATAGAGAGAACATGCAAACTCAACAAGGAAAAGCCCCGTTGGGAGATGGAATTGAATCCAGTATCTTCTTGCTGTGAAGCATGAGCACTAACCATTGTGCCATCGTGCTGCCCATATAAACCATACAGAAAACACCTTTTCATTGGTTTGTTTCATTATGGTGTTTTTGGAAAATAAAAACATATATAAATAGTTTTCTTTAACGCCTTACTTCAAAATGTTTCAGGCATATAATTCATTATCAATAGAAACACATTGAACAGTATCCATAGCCTGCATCATAATGCGTTTTCCCGGGGCATGAATGAAAGCTCTTTACATCAGGTGAGGGCTTATAATCGGGGCTAAATTGTGCCTCTTTAGGTCAGCCGACAGTATAATGTGCCATTTGTTACACTGTGGCCTCTGAGGGAAAAGAGGTGAGAGTTCTTTACATACAGTAGGCCAACATTTCCAACAGAAAAACAAGATTTGCCAATGGGACAAGGCATTAAGAACTGTTGTTTTTTTTTCTCAGTCCAAGGGAGACATTTCTCATATTTTTTTTAAAACAAGATAATTTTGCTAATCTTGTGTTAAGGCAGTCAAAAATGTATTCAAATTAATGTAAATTTTGCCAGATTGTGATTTTTTTTTAAATAACTTTTTGCAGTGTAGCCTTTGTATCTCATTGAACCATTTAGTGAGACAGGAAGTGAATGAAAACATGTGAAGTTCAACAAAAAAATAAATGTGCACCTAATCAGCATACATTAAAGCATGTTTTGTATTACTATGACTTTATTTCATCATTTATCACCATTTAAGACCTACGGACAGTAAACAGCCAATAGTGAATGTTCTGCAAAAAAATCTACAGAAATTATCTACAGAATTATGAGCAGCCTGATTCATGATCCCAACATAGTCCTCCTTCTATGGACACAAGAAGCTGCAGAAGTATATTTCCCAATTCATGATCACCATAGAGATTTCAAGATATACTGTATAGATATGTATAGATACAATATATATACTGTATAAGTCCTACATTCATCTTATGTATGTTTTTGAATGTACCAAAATCCAGTCCCAAACCAGTGTCGGACCAGAACCTGTCCAGGACCCATCCAGAACCAGCCCAGCACCATTCCAGAACCAGTCCAGGACCAGGACCACAAAAAAGGGGGCTTTAACTGCTGGAGAAAGTTGGGTACCAAATCAATAAAATGGCTAAGCTACATTTCAATTTTAGTTAAAATCTATTTCATTTAAATAATGACAAAGAAATAAACTACACATAGAGAGAGACAAAGTCGAAAAGGTATGAAGACCAAAAAGGTACACATAGGGGTAAATCGTTATTATTATAGATCCATGGGGTAATTACACCAAAAATAAAAGCCGTCAAATGGACTGCTCTGGTCGTGCTAGTGTTAACCATAAACTCCTATGGGGATTTTGAATTGAATTTCTGCTTCCGGAACCAGCGTGGACCGTGACTCCTCTCTCCTCTCCTCCGCTTCACCAGGGGAGGTGCTGGGAGGTGCTGGGAGGTGCTGGGGGCGGGTCTGTTAGGTGGTCTCTGTCTCTGCCTATGATCTCTGCTCTGAGCTCGTCTCCAAACACACGCTAAAAACACCATGCGTCCAAACAGCAGCAGCAGCAGCGGCGTGCGTGGATGATCACTCTCCTGTCCGCTTATTTCCTTCATCAAGAGAGAGAAAAGAGAGAGAAAGAGAGGGATTTTCTCGGAATAGTTTGCAAGAAGAAAACGAGTTGGAATTATGTTTAAGAAAAACAAAAGCAAGGTGCTGGTGGATTACGCATCTGAAGAAGACGACATGTCCTGGCATTACCATCACTCCTACAAGGTAACGAAGCACTGAACTATCATGTAAACCTGCTCAGGGATAAAAAATAATAAAAAACCCCATCTTTTTTGGGTGAATCATAAAACAAATAGTTAAAGTTGACATCAAGAGGCTACAGGTACAGAACTTTTTTATTTCATGAAATACACATTGTTTAACCCAACAGAAGAGTCTTGTAAAAGTGACATTTTATGAACATATCACACCACTTCATGTTATTAGAAAACAGGCTATGTTTTGCACACTTAAAGCTGGAATACCTAACTTTGAAACCACAAAAAAATATAAATGGATACACAAAATTACTCTCTCCAAGTGTTACTTATATAGGACTCTTTCAGTTGGGACAAACAAAATGTATTTATGAAAAGAAAAGGTTAGCTGGTCCTGTCTCTTTGTGGGAAGAGAGTTGATTGGTTGAGTGAGGGGGGTCCACTTATTTTAATTTGCCAAAAACACACTAAAACTCGTTTGAAAACCAGTGACAGAACCAAACTCTTACCTCAAAGAATAAAGAGACTACACTGACTTTGCCTCCTCTCCTATAGTTAACTTCCACAAGCACATTCCATTGTTGTGGTTTTAAAGTTACATACCCCAGCTTTAACGTGATGGAATGAAAAAGCCATTCATCCAAGTGTCATTTTTCTTAACTTTTCCTGATGGGTGGAGGGAAGATCCCAGTAGATCGTCAGCAGTCAGCTGATAATAAAGGGAGAGAGAGCGTCTGAAATGCATTACCTAAAGATTTTTTGCATATAGTAGAGTTGAATGAGTGGGGAGAAGACGTTTTTTTAGTAACATGTAGCAATGTGAGGTCACTTGACTTTTTGACCTGGTTTGAGTTATTTCCCAATCATCCCTACAGTTTCAAAGTTGCTGGTTTCGTGGGGGGTCTCTTTACAAGCAGCTGTGTCCTCTCGGGGTGCCAGCGATGTTTACGATTACTCTGTAAAAGAGGGGATAATTCAGAAGTCAGAAGTCTCAATATGCACGCATTGGGAACACTTTTCTTTTAAGATAAATTTGTCACAATCTTGTCAAGGCAAGATAATTTGTAAAGCACAGTTCAAACACTAGGGAAGTGCTTAACAAAACGAGACAGAAACAATCCCACAAGGCATACATAAGATTAAAGATATAATCGTTCAGTTGTATGCACCTAGAGATGTCTGTCTCACATTTTCAGGAAGACCGTTCCCGATTTTAGCTGCACAAATCTGAAATGCTTGTCAATGGAACCACTGAGAGGTTGGTACTCTCTTGTTCACCTTCTTGTCCAAAAAAAGTTGATTCAAAGATGTGATAGAGGCCCTAATAATGCATGCATCTGATAGTGATAGAACCAAGCTGTTATGAGAGCGAGGAACTAGTTACATAGATTTCATTAAAAAAATTGTGGTCTGAAAATGAGGTACTCCAGCTTTAATGCCTTTTAATCCTGCACACTAAATCCTCACTAAATATATGCAATTTTCCCTTTTTTTTTTTACAGTCTCAAATGTAATCTATAATCTATCTAAACCTTGGAATTCTACTTTGTGATGAAGCAGAAATCTTCATACCATGTCCTTTTATATGTATTGGAATGTACTTCCTGTAATATGGGGCCTTTTCCTCCAATGAGCTTCGCTAAGCTAAGCTCCTTTTTGGATGCCTTAACAGTGGGCACCAGGACAAGATTACGGCCAAACTTCTGAAAACCCTGAGAAAGTAAGCCGTTTAGACTAGGCGGTGACGTGCGTTACGAACTTTGGGTCAGCGTCAGGGTCAATAATGTTGCGTTTAAGTCAAGAGTGGGGAGACTGAGAGATATGGCATGCGGCGTTTCACATGGTGGAGAAATGTCTTGAAATATTGTAGTTTTCTTTGTTTTTGCCCTGCCTTAAATGTACAAAACCTCCTAAATTTAAAAGTAGCTATGGTTCAAGGACAAGCATGGACTGTGTGAAATTTTAAACTACTATGGAAGCATAATAGTAAAATGCATCTAACTAACTAGCTCTAAAGTTGAGTTCTATCGCTAGTTGTCCCGTGCATGTATTATTCACTTTTGTCACGTCTTTTGATACACTTTTTTGAGCATAAAAGTGAAAAAAGATTGAACCATCCTCACTCAGCCAATCAGCTCTCAGCTGAAACCTTCAAACAGTGACTCACAGGGATTCTTACAAGAATGCAAAAGATAACATAACTCTTTAACGTTCACTAGCGGATTTATCATTATTTTTGGGATTTTCTAAGATGTAGGAGTACTCATGACTCAATCTGTTTTTATGTTATTGTATATTATATTGAACCTATTTTGTAATTACGGGCCTTTACCAAATAATTGAGATCTAGTTTGATGGTAAAAGTGCGTAAAACGAAAAAGTGAGATGCCCCACAGCGGAAGATTTCAGTTCAAACATGCTTAAAGTAGATGATAAAGTAGTAGTGAGACCATTAAGGGAGTGCACTATACTACTTCAAATTGGTATAACGGGAACTATCGCTGAACAAATATGTTAAGAAAATGGATTGTTTTGCACCGGGGCGTTTAATTAGGTTGCCTCTTCCCTAATGCCTAATATTCTTGTCTCATTGTTGTTGGTTTCTGTGCAATTCCAGGCTGAGACAGGGCAGTTAAGAAGCTAAAAGTGCTGAGGGCAGATATTATGTCAGATTTCTAGTCAATAACGCTGCTCCCTGTAGTGCGCTCCGGGGCACTTAAGACCCAATGCTGTAACCTGCTTTCCATCCTTTATTAAAGTTTGACGGTCTGCATTTGTGGCTTATTGAAACAGGCATAATAACAGCACTGTGGGACTCTCCGTGGACCTGGCTTATGCTTGCGATTCAGCTGGTTAGAATCTGTACAAAAACATGTATTTTATGTTGAACTTTGCACTAAACAAAGAGATTTTCCCCTAACCCTGTGTGTGCTATTCAGTTAGTAAAAGGCCACAAGGTAGATTTGGTTTGGGATTTACGGAAAGACGACACTAAAGCGGAGAAATTCTATATTGAAGTCGAAATGGCCCCTGAGCTATGTTGTTGTTTTCTGTCTCCTCTCTCTTCCTTCTTATATAATTCCCGAGAACAGTAATCAGTCTTTGATCAGTGAAGGTGGCACAAACCCACAGCCCTCTGCTCAGACAAGTCCGACCAGCGTTTCGTTCACTGCATTTAAGTTGTTCAACGTGAGTCATCTTTGAAGCTTTGATCATTTTTCAGCAGTCTCTATCTGGGCTGGGAGTCGGTAATCTCGTGTGCATTCACAGTGGACTCTTCTTATGATTAAACGCTCCTTAAGACTCCTGGATTGTGTTCAAGACCAGCGCTTAGGCCTAAGACGGTCATAAAAGGCAATCTGATTAAGCAGAGATGCATATGTTGGCTTATGTAGTTGGATAATGTTTTGTATGTCCAATGGAGCCACTTGTGCACATCTGTATAGAATAATGATAATAATAATACATTTGATTTCTTAGGCGTCTTTCTTGATAGTAAGTTAAAAATACAGTTAAAATATAAGTTGAAGGATGGACAGAGGAGAGTGTGGTTATGGTGTAAGTGATTAGGCTTGTCTAAACAGATCATAATTAGAGCTGCACTATATATTGAAGTATATTATGATAATTGCAAATTCTATATTGATGCCTTTCTTTTATTTTGAATGAATGAAGTTTTATTTTGGCACTGGCACATTTATATACATTGTTACAGACCAGTAACTTTACAGCAGAGAGGCGTGGGCCGAAGTTAATGCTTATTTGGACTACCCTATTTACTTGGGTCATTTGTTTAAGTGAATTCATACTTTTAAGAATCAAAAGAAGCAACTCTCTAAACATTAAGATTCTGAGTTAATGTAGACATCCAAAATTATAGTTTTAAACTGTGAAGGACATCATTTAAGTTAATCTATTCACCCTTTCCAACCCTTCTAATAGATACAACAGAACAACATTTAATAAAGCTGGGGTACCTAACTTTCACACCACAACAATAGAACCACAAATAGAACTATCACAAAACCCTCACGCTGTCACATCTTTCACAGAACATTGTAAAGCGCTTTGGGTGACCTTTGTCTGTAAAATGCGCTATATCAATAAACATTACTTACTTACAGAAAAGTGAAAAGGATAGGACCTTCTTCACTCAGCCAAACTGCTCTGTCTGCCCAAACCGACAAATAGTGACTCACAGGGACACTCTAAGATAAAGGCAGCATGTTGTGTTTTGATTGGTTAGTACACGCCATTTTTCTTTTACAAGACTTCTGTTGGACAAGCTACATGCATTATTCGTAGTGAGAAAGAACAGAAGATACGAGGTATTCGCCAGAGCCTGCGTAGATGTATTTATTTCTGAAAAAAGTTAGGTGCCCAAGCCTTAACTCTGTACTCCTGAATGTGTGGCTTTACCATTTGCTCGGGACTCTGCAAACAACAACAGTCTTGTAACATTTTGTGAACAAACCAGACCAAAAAATGCTGTCTTTATCTTGCAGTCTATGCTGTCTAAAACATGCTATCTTTTACTCAGAGCTGATTGGCTGAGTGAGGCCTGGTTCTATCTTTTTCACAGGAACAGCTGATATAAATTTGTGACCGTCAGCCAAAAGTATGGTGCTGCATATTGGAATACTGGGACAATAAGACAAAACAAACGCAGGATGTTTTATAACTGTATCAAACACAGTCAATGTGTGTTATTTGACAGCTCAATGGGATTAAAATAGCTGCACTCACAATAGAAAGTCATAGAGAGAGACAATAGGCTCTGACTTAACTCTGTATTGTGTTAGGATCTGAGGTGTCTGTCTCCTTCTCTGTTTATACTGCCCCAGTGGCTGTCTTTACCAGGAAGCACCGCACTCTCCGTAAACAGCTAAAGTGTTGGTAGTACTAAACCCTCTGTGTGCATTTCAGGACAAAGAGAGAGGAGAGGAAGAGGAGGAGGAAGCAGTTACCATGGTGTCAAAGGTAAACATTGGGAGCACAGACACAAGCAGCTACGGATACAAATAAGATTCATCATTACAGTCAGTGGTGGCAAAAGCACTAGTCGTAGGAATACATACTAGTAAAAGTATTGAAATAATTCCCTTACTTAAAGCTGGTGTACCTAACTTTGTTTTGTTTCATGAACATGTTTTGTTTGTCCAACAGGATTAGTCTTGTTAACATAATACCACAAAAATAATACTAATACTACTAATAATAATAATAATAATAATGCATGTTTTAAATAGCGTTTATTTGGACACTCAAAGGCTGCGGTCACAAACTCGACCTGCAGCCCAGTTTAAGGGGGCTTAGGCCCAGAACACGGCTTTAGGTGCAGTGTGATCGCGGCAACTGTGCTGGCATGGTTGAAAGGGGGGTAGTTGTGGTGGGGACATGATATTGTGTGTCACATTACGTCTCTCTACTGCACCCGCTGTGACGTGAATCTCTACCTGCAGTCACATACTTTTGCATTCTACTCTCCCTTGCTCGCGTTAAACCTTTCATGTGCGCCCCCGGACCGTGGTACAAGGACGCAGAGGAGATTTGTCGCTCCAGGGCCGAAGAAATGCGTTTCCTATGGGGTTAACTCCCTTCTGTTTTGACCCTCGCTGTCACAGTGTGGTGCTATTCCAATAACACTTCTGACGGTTGCTCAAGAGTCAGACTTTATTTTGTTGCCAAAACACACCAACATTCACTTGTATCCTGTCTGGCTTCGGTTGCCACACTTTTCATTCATTCATTTCTCAGGCTCACATTGTTTACTCGAAGGCGCACACACACACACACACACATACACACACAAAGCTGCTGCACATTGGAGAAAGACACATCTCACACTTGTTCACATTGACTCTCACTGATTGAAAAGAACGAGATCCATGCTCGAGCTGGTTAGCGCTACAGTAGCCGAGAGTAAACAGGAAGAGAAACAGAACCTTAAAGGAATAGTTCACCGTTTTTACATACTGACAAATGTTCTTACCTTACCTTAGACTAGTTAATACGTACCTGTCTGGTCTTAGTCCGTGCGCTCTGTCATGCAAACGGAGCAAAAACGGGAGCACAAACGCAGCCTCCTCTGTATACTGTGTAGGACCAAAAGGTAGCTCCCGCTAGAAGCTACCAAACTCTTCCAAGTGTTCCCTATTAAATGTATATAGTTACGTGACGTGTTACACTGCAAAGTATAGTAACACAGAAATGTAACAGTCGATTTTCTCAGCGGATAAAACGGGTACTATATTGTGAGGCGTAGTAATCTGAGGGGCGCTACATCCGCGCACTAACTTCTCTCCGGAGACTTCTCTCTCGCTGCTACTGTGTGTACTACAGGTCACGCTGCTTCTATTGACGGAAGTGAGCGAGAGAGAAGTCTCCGGAGAGAAGTTAGTGCGCGGACGTAGCGCTCCTCAGATTACTACGCCTCACAATATAGTACCCGTTTTATCCGCTGAGAAAATCGACTGTTACATTGCTGTGTTACTATACTTTGCAGTGTAACACGTCACGTAACTATATACATTTAATAGGGAACACTTGGAAGAGTTTGGTAGCTTCTAGCGGGAGCTACCTTTTGGTCCTACACAGTATACAGAGGAGGCTGCGTTTGTGCTCCCGTTTTTGCTCCGTTTGCATGACAGAACGCACGGACTAAGATCAGACAGGTACGTATTAACTAGTCTAAGGTAAGGTAAGAACATATGTCAGTATGTAAAAACGGTGAACTATTCCTTTAACTCGGACCTTGAGGTAGTCGCTGAAGTTAGTATTAGCGGCACCAACTGGACCGAGCGCTGTACTACACCGCATTTGGGCTGGCACGGTTAAAAAAATATACCCTTCTGACCGCAGGCCGTCTTCACACCCCTGTGCTGACGATCCGGCCCACTTGGCCTAGTTCATTTGTGAAAACCTATGTGACCGTGCTCTTTGACGCTCCACATGGCACTATTCATGCCATACACAGTGGTGATAAACTACTACTGTAGCCACTGATGGACACTGACTGAAGCGAGGCAACCAGTATGTGCCATCAGCCCCTCTGACCACCACCAACCAGTTTGGCACTTTACAGCCACCTCATTGTGGCACCTGGGACATGAGGATTTGATCTTATTATTAAAAATTGTATCTCTTCTATACTGAGTGCTAATTGGAGTTATGGCTGGTACTTTTTCACTGTCCTGCTCACAGGTCTCTCCAAACGGGCTTATAAACAGCTGCAGTATACTGAAAAAGCTGCAGCTCGAGTCCTGACTAGAACTAGGAAGTACGACCACATTAGTCCAGTTCTCAGGTCTCTGCACTGGCTTCCTGTGGCTCAGAGAATAGACTTTAAAACGGGTCTCCTTCTGTACAAGTTTCTCAATGGCCTCGCACCAAAGTACATTTGTGACATGTTAGTACCATATGAACCGGCCCTGACTCTAAGGAGCACAGGGACTGGCCTCCTGCTAAGACTCTGAGGAGCACAGGAACTGGCCTCCTGTTAGTGCCCAGAGTCAGAACTAAACATGGGGAGGCTGCTTTTCAGATTCATGCTGCTAGAATCTGGAACAATCTTCCTGAAAATGTGAGACTTGCTTCTTATCTGACAAGGTTTAAATCCAGGTTAAAAACAGTTATGTTAAGCTGAACATACAACTGAGGAATTTTATATTTTAATCTTTCTTTTGTACTGTGATTCTTTATGATTTTTATTCCTTGTGTGACTGTTTCTATCTTGTTTTGTTCTTTTACTTTGAGTTTCCTTGTGTATGAATTGTGCTATACAATGCCTTGCCTTCACTGAAAAGGCTGATCTAAAGAAGTGACTGAGGCTTAAAGGAATAGTTCACCGTTTTTACATACTGACAAATGTTCTTACCTTACCTTAGACTAGTTAATACGTACCTGTCTGGTCTTAGTCCGTGCGCTCTGTCATGCAAACGGAGCAAAAACGGGAGCACAACCGCAGCCTCCTCTGTATATTTTGTAGCACCAAAAGGTAGCTCCCGCTAGAAGCTACCAAACTCTTCCAAGTGTTCCCTATTAAATGTATATAGTTACGTGACGTGTTACACTGCAAAGTATAGTAACACAGAAATGTAACAGTCGATTTTCTCAGCGGATTAAACGGGTACTCTATTGTGAGGCGTAGTAATCTGAGGGGCGCTACGTCCGCGCACTAACTTCTCTCCGGAGACTTCTCTCTCGCTCACTTCCGTCAATAGAAGCAGCGTGACTTGTAATACACACAGTAGCAGCGAGAGAGAAGTCTCCGGAGAGAAGTTAGTGCGCGGACGTAGCGCTCCTAACTTCTCTGCGCACTAACTTCTCTCCAGAGACTTCTCTCTCGCTCACTTCCGTCAATAGAAGCAGCGTGACTTGTAATACACACAGTAGCAGCGAGAGAGAAGTCTCTGGAGAGAAGTCTCCCGGAGAGAAGTTAGTGCGCGGACGTAGCGCTCCTAACTTCTCTGCGCACTAACTTCTCTCCAGAGACTTCTCTCTCGCTGCTACTGTGTGTATTACAAGTCACGCTGCTTCTATTGACGGAAGTGAGCGAGAGAGAAGTCTCCGGAGAGAAGTTAGTGCGCGGACGTAGCGCCCCTCAGATTACTACGCCTCACAATATAGTACCCGTTTTATCCGCTGAGAAAATCGACTGTTACATTTCTGTGTTACTATACTTTGCAGTGTAACACGTCACGTAACTATATACATTTAATAGGGAACACTTGGAAGAGTTTGGTAGCTTCTAGCGGGAGCTACCTTTTGGTGCTACAAAATATACAGAGGAGGCTGCGTTTGTGCTCCCGTTTTTGCTCCGTTTGCATGACAGAGCGCACGGACTAAGACCAGACAGGTACGTATTAACTAGTCTAAGGTAAGGTAAGAACATATGTCAGTATGTAAAAACGGTGAACTATTCCTTTAAAACACATGCATGTGAATGTGGCGACTTGTGATTGGACCCGACTGTTTAGAGAGCTGGAAACTAGTTCAATGGATTTTATGACTTAGTTTTCTTGTTTCAAAGTTCCAACTTTAACTGAAAGTATAGGATCCACACAGAAGCATTTTTGAGCCTTTCCTCGGACATAAAATGAGATCTGTTTGGTATGGATGAACAAAAACTGGGATGCATATTGATTCAAACAAAAGCAAGATTTTAATAGGACTAAAGCAAAACAAGATTCCAGGTTTTATTTCATGTCAACAGAAATATCAATTGCTTCTTCCATCGATTGTGTTTGTTATTATCATGTGTTGTAGTGGCCTCATTATCAACATTTGGTGCTCACTGGACGGATGTGGTATGTCTAAGATAAGCTTATCTAACGCAACAGTATCAAACACAACAGGACAAAGGCTAAAGACTTTTCAGACTGTCCAAAACTTGCTTGTGTCTACATTTATATCTCATTTTCCTGTATCACCTGGTTGAAGTGAAACAGACTATTTTCTGGGGCACTCTGTATCTATAAACATGCCATTCCCTCTCATCCTTATCTCAACCAAAACTGTTACGGAGCACTACGGAGGACTGACGGCGCATTCTTGAGTCAAGCCACTTAAAAACTTGGGAAATACTTTGACAACATGGGAGGAAAAAATATTATTATGGACAAAATCAAGACTATTTCGTACAGTGATATTTTTATATGCTATGCCATTTTTCTAAAAAAAATTCTATCCATTGCTGAAGTAAGAGTTAGTTGATACAATATTCTTACTTATTCATTGATGTAATGACTGTTTTCTTGCATGTGTATTAAAGCAGTGTAACTACTATGATTTGTTTCATAAAAAAAACAAAAATGTAATTCATTAATCAAATATTTGTATTATTATTATTTATAGATCTTTTTCAAAATTGTGTACACACATGCACGGCCACACACAAACCAGGGTTGATTTTATTGTGGAAGATTCTGACTTCAATATTTTTTGTGGCTTTATGTGTACTAAGAGGAGATGAAACCTGA